AAGTATAGGATAATATAATAATAATAGAGGTGCTAGAGATAGGGATATATATAGAGATTACACTAGCCTACCTATAGATAAGTATAGCCCTAAAGACTCTATTAGGGCACCTAGTTAAATATAGTAGAGTCTAATAGCAATTTCCTAGAGATATCTAGGCTACCTATCCTACTTAGGTCTTAAGGGTAATTATATATTAGGTTTAATAGGATAACCTGTTAGTAAAGGTAGAGATCTAGAAGTACCTAATAGGAGATTTAAATAGAGAAAGGATAGGAGTATAGATTAGGAAGAGTTAGGTTAAGATAGTAAAGGAGTTAAAGAAGAATTAGGCTATCTGCGTTAAGAATAAGAAGCTTGTATTTAGCAAGGATAAGGAGGCTAGGGTACTAGACTAATCCTATTTTAGCATAAAGGGGGTACAGCCTACTAAGGTAGAAGAGTAGTAGAGGTATAATAGATAGATTAAGTAATTAGAGACTCTAGATATAGTTAAAAAGTATCTAGGAGCTATTAAGGAGGAACAAAAGGCGGAGGGATCTAGGCGCCTAGGGCTAGGCTATCTAGGAAGCCTAGCAAGGGCGTAGAGGAGAACTGTCTTGTTAAGTTTAGGTTCAAGATTAGAGACCCTAGATACCCCTACCCCCTTACCTGAAGCTTAACGAGCTAGGAACTAGGGTTGCTAACCTAGAGGAGGAGAGTAAGGGCTAAGCTTAATAGGGCCAAGCTTAAAAGAGGGGGAGGTTTGTGCTATAGTATAGGATATATAGGAGAAAAATAAGGCTTAGCCTAAAAAGTTAGGTAAATTAAATAGTATAAAGGTATAAAGGATTAGAGGATAGAAAAGGTATAACTCCTACAGACTTTACTTTAACTCTATAATATTATCTTTTTACTTATATTTCTGCATTAACCCTATATCCTCTGCTATAGGATTAATACTATTAAACCTTGCCCCTCCTACTTCTCCTCGTTTAAATAGGTTACTCTCCCTATTGGTTTAATAGTAGTATTAGATTTACTAGGGAACTTATATAAGACTATGTATATAGATCTGCTAGAGAGAGCTACTAATAACCTACTACTAAGCTAGATGTATTAGGACTTATAACTAGGTCTAATAGTTACTCTAGAAAATAAAAATGCAACGCTAGATAAATAGGAAGTAGAAGAGATCCTTTATACAAAGAATATAAGAGGAAAAGGAAAGTATTAAGTCCTAGTAAAATAGAAGGGGTATATTAATCTAATATAGCACCTACTAGAGGTAGTATAGGATACTAAGGCTCTAGATAGGTTTAAGGAATAGTATAGGGATGCCACGTATAATAATAGCCTAATACGTATAAAAGCTAGAAGGTAAGGGTAAAAGGAAACTAAAATAATAACTTAGACCTTTGTTATAATTAAGAAGTAGAAAAGTATTAGAGATATCTTTTATTTATCCTAATAATACTCTAAGTAAGTGCCCTACTACTAAAGTTTTATAATATAGCTAATAATTAGGTAGTAGTATCTATACTATTACTATCTATAACTAACCCCCCTCTAGCCCCCCCTAAACTATTATTTATATTATTCTAACGCCTCTACATCTCTTAGTAATAGTAGTAACACTTACGCGCAGCGCAGGTAGGGGAAGACTTAGTTAATAAGTATAAGCGGCGGTAGTAGTAGTAGTAGGAGAAGGGTAGTGCTTTAATAGCTTACTAACGCGTAGCACCCTAGGCCTAAAGAAAGCAAACGTTAGAATAGATATAAAGGGAATAAGGGAAAATTAATACTAATAATAAGAGTCTTAATACTATAGGTAGTGCGCTTAGTAGCGCTCTTAAGCTTATTAATATAAAGGTTAGTTTAGGCCTAGGTCTTATTTATACACTAGTTAATACACTAGAAGGTAATACTAGTAGTAGTAGCAAGCTATATAATATTATTATTACTATAACTACTATATAAAGGCGTAATAGTAGACTAAAGTAGAAATACTAGAGCACTAGTAGTAGATAGAATAATAGCACTAAGCTAATACTAATTATAGGCGCGCAAGTAGGTAGTAGGGGCAAGTAGAGCAATAGTATTATTAGTTTAAGCCCTTAATATAAGATCCTTAAAATAATAGCAGAGCTAGTAGAACTGTAACAAAACTAAAGCTAGTTACAAAGGGCTTAGCGAACGTTAGGATTATTAGTAAAGATAGCTTCTAATTAAGTATAGGTCTTGTGGCTATAATAGCAGGACTTATATAAGCGCCCTAGATATAGTTAGAACCTACTATAAAGAAAATAAAAATTAAGGGGAACTTACTACTACCTTCCTAATAGTTACACTTACTAAAGAGATAAAGCTAGTTAATATACTAATTATAGGGAAGTAGCTTTATAAAGCTACTATTATATTTCTTATTATCTAAGTTACTAGAAATAATAAAGCTACTAAGTAACTATATTTAGGGAGATATATACTAAGTAAAAAGTTAGTATAGGAAATATAGGGGGAATATTAGAAGTACGCACCTTATCTTAGTAGGCCTAGTATAGGGTCTAACTGCCTTATAGTAGATCCCTACTACTAGTACTAGTAGTAGTAGATAAGGATATAATAGGGGCTAGATAGGTAGGATTAATAGAGAAAGAGTAGAGAGAGGGCTAATTAGTAGGGAAAATCTATTATATAATAAAAGTAAGTTTAGGAAATTTATAGTAGGGTAGGATAGCTATATTAGAACTTTTATAGTAGGGTACTAAAATAAGTATATAGACGCTATACGCGCGTACTACTTAATATATAGGCCTATTATAAATTAGGAAGGAATATAAAGATATAATAATAAAACTAAAAAATATAGTAATAAAGCCTAATATAGATTATAGAGGATAAAGATATAACCCTAGACCCCTAGAAGATAATTTTATAATAGTTTATAGGGGAAGGTTAGGGGTATATAAAGGGCTTAGGCTTATACCTAAGCCTAGGTCTAACACAAGATAGACTAAGTCTAACACTACTACTAAGCAAACACACTAGACACCTATAAAAAGGCGTAGAGGGCTTACCTCTCCTTTAAGATACTAAATACTATTATTAACGCTTATTGTATTCTCCCTTAAGGCTAGTCTATAACAGAGAGCGTAATAAGTAATAGGGAGGACTCCTAGTAGGACTAGTACTAGCATAGCTAAAGGTTCTAATTTAGATTAGTAACTGCTTAATTATATAGATTAAATACTTACTAGATTTTAGATAGATTAGGTTAAATAATTAAAAAATTAGGGATATAGGAATAAGAAAGTTAGTAGGTAGAGGGCTAGTTATAGGCAGGCTAAGGATAGGGGTCTGTGCCCTAGGAACAAGAAGTAAAGGTAAAGGTAGAGGTAAAGGTAGATTTATTTTGCAAGAGCTTTTCTTTAATAAGGGATCTAAACCTAATCCTAAGAATAGGGACTATCCTTTCTCTATAGGAGTAGGTAGTGTAATAATAAAGTAGAATTACCTACCTATTATTCTATACTAAGTTAGGCCTAATAAAGGCCTAACTTACTAATATATATAGAGAATAGCTCGCCTATAGTTAGGATAGGCATGTTCTTCTTATCCTTTTATACAAGACCTATAGGTGTAGGAATCTTATCCTTTTCTATACAGACGCGCACTCCTATATACCTTTAAGTCGTATAGGATACCTTTTAGATGCCCTACTTACCTAAGTCGTTACATAGAGGATAGAATAGCATAACTCCTAGGAACTTTACTTAAACTCTATAATCTTAACTATTCTCTTATAATCCTGTATTGAATTCATATCCTCTACTATAGGATCCCTACTATTGAACCTTGCCCCTCCTACTTCTCCTCGTTTGAATGGGTTACTCTCCCTGTCGGTTCAATAGCTATTGCTTAGTTACTATAGGTGAAAACTCTGTAACACTACGTAACTAGGTATAGATACTAATATCTACTAATACTATACACTAATACTATTAATACTAGTTGCAGGCTATCTAGCGGCATCCCCTGTAGTACTAATTTACTAGCTGCAGGATGTTAACTGATTTAGGTAAGGTAAGGCTTATAACCAGGACACTTTTCTTATTGCGACCCGGACGAATAACGTTTCCCTTACATTGGGCTTTCTATTCCGTGGACATTGTCCGCGTGGAGACTTGTGGATTACATGTAACGTTAGTGCGCACCTGTGGGTCCTATGATAGCGCCGAGCGGTCCTTCGGTTTTGTGCTATACCTAACAAGTTCAGATAATACAGTTATCATTCATCTCTCAAAAGTCCGATAACCTCAACATAGCGAGTGTCTCTATAGGCATGTATCACGGCCCAGCACCTTGTTAAAGGTATTAAATGGTAATTTAATCCTTAACAGTACCTGCAATGTATTAAAGTTGATGATAGGCAGATTAGGATAGTACATTAAAACGTTAGTCTCCTGTTATAGCGCAAAGGTGTTTAAGGAGGTAGACGATGAGGGAAGCATTAGGAACCTTGCGAGAAGATTGCTTACAATGGAAGTTACTATGGATTTGCATGTAAATATGGTAGATACAGGGCAATCAATCTCCGTGTGCACGAGCGGCTGAAGCATCAGCCCCCAACACCCCCACCTCCGCCACACAGCTAAGCACTTATCGATTTTTGCTGTACCTCTTTCGCCACGTGCTCTAATGGAAGTTTCCCCTTCGCCGCGTGCTCTAATGGCAGTTTCCAGACCGTCTGATAAGAGAAATGCTACTCGAGAACGGGCCTTAGTGCGGCGTCCACGACGATGGAGAGTAAAAGTAGCCCGTGCGAGCCTCCCGGACCGAGTCTCTTAGTATGCAGATATGGCATTAGTTAGTACTGTAATGATGTCAAAGGCTCTGCGATTACGGACATGGTCATACAAGAAGAGGCAAGCTTTGATAAATAATGAGACCCAGTCCTTATAGAGACGGAAGAACTATCCCATCACTTAAATCAGAAGTCCTCTCTCATCAGTTTCTTAGACATGTTTCTCTCTAACCTTTTCGCGATTGTGTTAACCATCTGGGTGGAAAGCTATGCAGCATCGGCCAGCAAGACACTCGACGTTGCTGCAATCCCGAATTTTATGGAAATTGACTACTCCCAGCCTCCTGTCGCCCAAGGTGTCATCGAAACCACCGTCATTCCAGAGCTAGCCGGATTCAATTTGACCACCGTTAATGGTAGTCTAATATATGACCTTCCCAAAGGTGGCATCGACATTTCCGAGGAGCTCTACGAGAAGTTGTCCGGAAAGAAGCCAGACCATGACCTCTTAACCAAGCGCTATTGCGAAAATCCCTGCAACTGTGGTACACATAAGGTCTGGCATTTGGATAGTGGCAATTGGAACAAGTTCCTCGGTAAATACAAAGTTTTGTCGGCGGTTTTATGCGGACCCGGGACAATCACAAACACATTCAGCGAGGCATATACATACACTGTTGCCGGCCAGATCGATCCGTCCATAGGCATTGTAGGTCACCAAGAAGAAGAATCAAGCGCTACCCGCATTCATAGCTAAAACGAGACAGATGGATGGAAAATTTCTGTCGAAACTCGGTTTGAAGCTTACCTTCCAATATTCGTTTGGTAATGTTGTTGCAACAGGATATGGTGGTACCTGTGGCCAATACCATCCTTGCGTCTCTCTGTTCAGACCTTGGATTGGAGTGGTCAAGGGTCGTGGTCGATGGACTCAACTTAGCAATGATGGCAACAAGCTCTGTGGTAGTGGCTACGGCGGCGACATAGAGATTCATCTCCCTATTGTTAAGGATTGCAATGATAAGCAGTGTGGTGCTGATGGTAAGTGCTATGGTAACGGTCTTCATCTTTTCCCAGATATTGTGCTTATATTTCAATAGGTGTTTGGAGCCACTGCTACTACTTGGGGAATTATGCTAAGGCTATGTGTCACACTCTTGGCCCAACTCCGAAGGATGCATGCCCCGATGAGGTTTACCCAAAATGAGAAGTCTACATACGCATTGCGGTTGCTTTTCAAGTAGTCTGTAATAGTCACGAGCGCCATGTATCTAAGGAGAGACGAGGACGCGTTAATGTATATATTTCAAAGGGCCCATGTGTAGAATACTAACTTAAAGAGTAGCCTATAGGTAGATAGTAAGGTCTAAGTACCTAGTAACTACTTAGATTTTGCGCTGGACGAGCTCAATTCGTAACGTGAGTACGCTCGTCGGCGGCGGCAAAGAAATGTTATTTGGAACCAGGACGTACATCTTACTGTTATAAGAACTCCCAAAATGACCCTACGTGTCATGATCAAGGAACGATGGTGCGGGCAAAGCGGTTGCCCGTCTTCTGAAATCTTGGTATGAAAAGGTAAGGAACTCAATGTACAAATACTTGCCCCACCAGCATGACTACCACCAAGTTATAGGACACAAAAAGAAGTGCACGCGATCCTCCGACAGACTAGCTCATAAGCAGCCTCGTGACTGCTCCAACATTAAGCGTCCTCAAATCGCTATAATGCTGTCCTGTTCCCAAAAAGACGACTGGAATGCCCGTGGCATGCACCATGCTCACCAACGTACCCACCATGTCCCCCACTGTGTCGCACTTTGATATGACAAAGCCATCCAAACTGCGGCCGGCGCCAAAAGAGGCATTGAAGTTGCGGGCCTGGGCGACCGAGTCGGTGCCAACGAGGGCTTCACCCACCATGAGAATTTTGTCGGGATTAGCTAGTTTACCGAATTTTTCAAGCGAGGACATGAGGCGTTGATCGTTGTGACGGCGTCCGGCAGTGTCAATGAGCACGACGTTGAAATTGTTCTTTTCAGCGAAAATGACAGCGTCGGCGGCAATGTTAGCTGCATCCTTGCCGTAACCTTTTTCAAATAGATCGACCTGTCCACCTTCTCGTTGTGAGAGTTCCTTTAGGCGATCGACATGTACGCGAAGTTGCTCGACAGCGCCGCTGCGGAATGTGTCGGCAGCGGCGATGAGCACGCGATGGTGATTTTGCAGGAGAAAGAAGGCAATTTTGGAGAGATTGGTGGATTTTCCTACGCCATTAACGCCGACGATGGAGAGAACGTAAGGTCTTGAGGTCGTGGCGTTGGTTTGTTGAATTTCGCGGAGGAGATCGAGGGAGGAAGTGGGGGTAAGGATCTTAGTGAGTGCTTTCTCCATGGAGGCTTTGATGGTAGTTTCGATCGCTATGGGCTTGTCAGTATGCTCTCAAATAATCTGGTCGCGGTCTGGCCGACGAACTGGTAAAGCTGGGCGTCTTCATGCCAACAAGATCGCGCTCAACACTTTCACACAACCGTACCGCAGCCTCCAGAGCAACGTTCTTCTTGAGCAGATGTTGCTCCATGCCTTTTAATGGCTTGGCCAAGTCCTCCTTGGTCAGTGTCTTGCCTCCTACCACGTTCCTGAAGAGGCCGCCTATCGCACCCAAACTGGATCCAACAAGTCCGCTGGCTGCTGCGGGTGTATCCTTCTCTCTCTTTGCGTTCTGTTCAGCGATGATGGCATCCATTTCGTCGTCTAAATCTTTGAGCACGAATTCGCCTTTGTTGGTCTTTCGACCCCATGTCTCCTGCTTGATCTCTTCCAATGCTTCGTTGCCCGATGTTTCGCCGCGGACATCCGATTGTGAGTAGTCCAGTACCGAGTCGTCCTCCTCTTCGGCGCCAAACTCTCCCCAGACTCTGCCCTTCTTTGCAGAACCCTTGGCTTTGCGCTTGACTGATGCCTCGTCTCCTGATGAGGCTGGTGCTGAATTGAATGCAGAAGCCTTCTTCTTGTCTCTACGCGACATCTTCCCTCCGAGCGGTCGGGTCTTCCCGGTAAGGATTCCGCTATGCGCAGGTGTGGTGGGTCTGGATGTATCTGGCGTCGGTACCGGTGTCGAGTCGGCACTGGTATCGTAGAGCGGACGTTGTGGTTTCTGCAAGGAGGGTGGTTGTGGTGCGCGCTCATCCGCAGAGTCATTATCGGTACTCGACTCTGGCGTGGTAAGTTTGATGGATGGTGCGCCTGAGTCGCTCGCGCCCTCCAGCTCGTGTATTTGGCGATCAAAGTAGGATGCGAACTTGTCACAGTTGACGACGCTACTGCGCTCCGTCTTGAGCTGCTCGCCATATAGGCCGATGAACAGGGCGCGGACGTTGTCGAGGAGCTTGTCTATCCAAGTCAGGTGGACAAGACTTTGGTATACTGCCTGTAGCATCTATCATCAGTGCATGTGTGTGTGTGTGTGTGTGTGTGTATGTTGAATGATGCGCCAGATGTTGTCGAGTGTTTGCGGAATGCCATTTGGAATGATTATCACCACTTACGACAAACATGAGACCTAGGTCTTTGGAGGCAGTCCACTTGAGCGTATAGCCATCCTTCCTGTATGACGGTTTAGCGCCAGCATCGTCTGCTTGTGGCTGTATGCGCTCCTCGATGAAGACGTCGCGAATCAGACTGTTGATTACATTTGCGCCGACTGGCACATAGGTGCGCGACCACAGCACCACACCGGACGTTGTGACAATCTCAAAGGTATCCAACATGTCTGGCCTGCAAAAGATGCGAGGGGGGACGTTGCGATGTCGGTTGAACACGTACTAGTCTGGAGGTGGCCCGATAGGTGAAGGAGGGGGACATGGTGTGTTGTTGGGGAGCGGCGAGGTATGACGGGCAGAGTGGCCAGATGGTCGGAGTCGGAATGGCGGCGGAAGTGTCGCGCGAGAAAGAGAAGAAAGAGAAATAGTAGAGACCCGGAAGACTGAAGAGAACAACAACTCAATTTCCCCTCCATCAACATTCAATCAACACCACCTCCACCACCACCACCACCACCGCCGCCATCAAACGCAACAAAACAACGGCAAAAACAATTGACCCGTACTCTTTCTCACCCAGCCGCCTCACCCCCCAACGTGTTTGTTGCCTGCTTGAGCCATCCAAGCACGCGCCCGCCATGCAGCGCCCGAGCTACCAGAACCCGCCGCCGGCGCACTCACCACCGCGTATGTTCTCGTCCCTTTGCGACTTGCACACTGATTATTGCCCTCTCTATACCTATGGGCGGGCCAAACACAAGATCATGTACCCATGGTCTGGTGTGATGGCTCTGTGCCTGTGTGTGGCTGTGGCTAATTCGAGAGGCCAGTTCACCATCCCATCCCACAGCACGTGTCTACCGTTCCACAACTACGATCACCACCACCCCCTCAGCCTCCATCGCAACCGCACAGCGCCTATGGCTACGGACAACACGGTGGGGGCATGCCTCAGCAACAGCAGCAGGGCGGCTACACACACCCCTCGTTTGGGGGCTTCATCAACGATCCCACCGCCCAACTAGGCTTTCAAATGGGCAAGAGCGCCGTAGATGCTGGACAGCAATACGTCGAGCAAAATGTACGCCTGCAGTACTCCTACCCGTCTATCCCCTCGCGCACAGAAAAGAAGAAAACGTGCCAATCGTCCATTGACTCAGAATTACACCGTGATATCGCCTCCTGACATGTTCCTAGATTGGCCGCTTCATCTCCGTCTCAGCGCTAAAACATTACTTCAACGTCACCAACATTTACGTCCTCGCCAAACTGCGCATCATACTGTTCCCCTGGTGGCACAGGCCATGGTCACGACAGCAGCGTCACAGCCCTGATCCTGCCGTTGTGCCCTCGTCTCTATACCTGCCACCACGCGAAGATGTCAATTCTCCAGACATGTACATCCCCACCATGGCCCTTGTCACGTACATCCTGCTCTCAACACTTCTTGCAGGTCTGAGAGGCCAATTTAACCCTGAACTTCTGGGATATACAGCCACGCTCGCCATCTCGGTCACGTTACTGGAGATCCTCATCATTCGAACGGGTACATTTCTTCTTGCCATCACCAACTCGTCGCAGCTACTTGATTTGGTCGCGTACAGTGGCTACAAGTTTGTACATGTCATTGTATCGCTCCTCCTATCCCGTCTGACCGGTTGGCTTGGGTTCGGGAGCGCGTGGGTCTCCTGGATCATCTTTCTCTACTGCTTCGGCGCCAATGCCTTCTTCTTGCTCAGGAGCTTGAGGTATGTTTTGCTTCCTGATCAGGGTGGACAGGGTATGGGTGTCGGCGGGAACGTAGCCGCTGGTTACACTGTCCAGAAAAGCCAGAAAAGCCGGAGAACACAGTTTCTGTTCGTGTACAGTTACATTGTTCAGTTTGGGTTCATGCTGTGGCTGAGCAGAGTCTGATTGTGCGGCTGGACAAGGATCTCTCTGCATACTGGTCCAAATATGCAGGCGGACATGCATATCGGGAGCTGCTTGCTTCGACCTCACTTGTATACTGCATCGTGGGTCCGAGAATGCAAGTTCTTTGATGCCCTCCGAACTTTGCCTCTGTTTGCAAAAATAGACGCGCTCAATCTGATATCGGGCCAGCAAGTCCTCATCCAGAACTTTGTTGTAGCCACATGGAAGATAATGCAAATATCACACGAGCGAAGTCCGCCCAACACCCTTGCTCATCCTGCATTTCGTATATCTCGGCAGTACGCCAATGCAGCCATGGGCCCTGGTGGCCATGAAGCAATGGACAGCGTTATCTACGCATTATGCACGTCTATTGCTTGAGCAAGTTGCACATAAACGGATTTACTTGGTTGAATGGTTGCTGATGCGATATCGATTTCCGGAAACGCTTAAATAATCATAATCTCCATTTGATGAGTGCAATGCTCGTATGCTCACTATTCTCAATTTCTATATGAACTGGCGATCGTGCCTGCAAGATAAAGGAACCTATACAAGAGCTCAAATGGTCCCCCTGCTCTCAGGTTTGGCCGGATTGTCAGTCCTGCACCTCTTACCTGTGGCCTGTCGTTGGGAGTAGCTAATTGTGAAGCGGCGTATCCGTCTAAACATACTAAAAGGGGAGACCACGCACTACGACCGAAGAGTATGTGTTGTCTATCACCTTCAAGTAACGTTACGCAATGCGGCCCATCTTCACGTTCCCGCATCGGAACAAGCAAATCCCATCGTGGCGTCCGTTAGTCCTCGGATACCCTCCGACAATCCTAAGTGGAGCAGCATCTACAAAGCGCCAGTCTCGGCGACGTATGACGTCGATACAACCATCGAATCTGGAGTGGAGTACTTCCAACTTTTTCTGGTGGGAGACGGGCTTATAAGAGGATGAAGTGCTCCGGATGGTGAGAGGGAAGCTTCTTGGAAACCATTCTACAAGTACATCATTAGAAATCAGAATCAGAATCAGAACCCAGTTTGTTAGGCACCACTAAATTTTGATCATCTTCAGAAATCATCGGACAATATGCCACGTAACGGAGATGGATCAAGCGACAATGGGCCCATTGAAGGGCATGAAATTGTTCATGGCGCCTCTGGAGATGTGCGTGAAGCAAATCCCACTCCAATCACCAATCCACTCCTAACAATCCCCACAGAAAACCCTCCAGCATACCAAACATGTTGCTCCCATGCCCGAAGCCGAAGCCGGAGACTGTGCGTCGTCTAACAATCCAGCGTATTCGCAGAAATAACAAACCTCACCAACTGACGCTACCTATCTAGCTCTCCCCGGCATGGGCGCCGGCGGCGTCGCAGACGTTGTCCAAGGGGACTCTGAGGAATTCGGCACCAACGAGCCCAAGAAAGATCCTCTTGACGTCAATGACAACAACAACGCGGACACACCCATGGAGGATCGCGACACGTCCTCCTCTCGACCCTCAGGCGCCAAGCGTCAAAAGACCGGCGACATCGACGTCTCCGGTTCCCAAAAGACGTCCTCTACGTCTACATCTAAGTCCACCTCCACCTCGACGTCTCACGTAAACAGGAAGACTAAATCAGCTGCTCAATCCATGCCTGGCTCTGGCTCTGGCTCTGGCTCGGCTGGGTCCGCGGACCCCAACGATCTAGATCAAATCGCGCGCCACAAGGCAGAGAAGTACGTTGCGCTAGATCAAGACGAAGTCGCCATGTCGTCTGCCAACACTGAGGCGGAGAAGCGCGATGCTCGCGCTGAGAGAGGCGCTGATGCATTGGACGAGGCGAAGACGGGAGGTAAGGCGAGTGGAGAGAAGAATGGGGGTCATGCTGATGTTGAGGAGATGCATGGGAAGGCCGATACAAAGAAGAATCAAGAACCTCGTTCTGGTGCCGGGGAAAGCGGTGGTAAGAATGCGGGTAAGGGTGCGAATGGACATGCGGATGGGAAGACCAAGATGGAAGGGGGCAATGACCTTGACAAGGTGCAGAGGCATCAGGCGGAGAAGTTTGGGTCGGTGAATTTGGAGAATGAGTAGAATGATGTCGTTTGCACATGGCCTGTTTGGACATTTTCTGCAGTATGCCGAGGGGAAAGATTTATCCTGATACACGAGAGAAAATATGAAAGTATGCTGGGATCATTGTTCTTGCAAATAGCCAGTTGCTTGACTGATTTAAAGTCATCGACTTCACTATGAACAGTTATTCTGAATTGTCCAATTTGGCTGACGAGATATCTTTTATCAGTACACTAGTCTTACATGTCAAAACTGGTCATTCAGCAACTATCGCGGCTGATAATTTGAGCCAGGAATTGTAATCCAGAAACGGATGGTAGCTGAGATGTCTTGTTGATATATATTGTCAAGGCAGTCAAGTTCACAAGCAGATTTTGAAACTTCCTTGATAGTTATGTGGGAAGGCATTGTATAGCACTTGTTGTAGGACGTGATGCTGGTATGGAATCCCACAGTAGGAACTGCGAGGTGTGGAGTCTGGAGCTGATTGCGGGATGTGCTACGGTGTTGAGTGAGCTTGGTAGTGATGTTGGGGACGCAGATTAGAGGTCGGTGGGTGTTGATAGGATAGAGTTTGTTTGTAGGTCTTAAAAGACGCTGGTTGTAAGTGGATTTGTGCTTTTGGTTTTTGATGTCTCAGGCTAGGAAGGAAGGTATAGTGTAGCTGAGAAGATAGAAGATGTTGGTCGTCAAATAGGTCAGTGTTTCAATTCCCGTCTATTGTAAAGTTTGACATGTTTGATCCCACATAAGTCTACAGAGATTCAATTCCAATCACAACCCAGTCTCCATCGTCCACATAAACCGCTCTTCACCTACAATCCCAAGCTAAACATTGCAACACCAACAGCCACCACAAACGCGATCCAAGAGGTCCCACCAGCCCTCACAGCAGCGTCTTCAAACGCCGACATCGCAAACGTCGCATTCCTACTTCCCCCACCAGCGGCCCACTCCTTCCTACACTTTTCAATCACCTCAGGAAACAAGCGCGTCGTATTCGCATCGACGAGCAAGTATTCGCAAATCTCCGCCGACCCATTCAGGACAGCAGCTCTCTCATGCGGCCAACAAGTCGACAACTTCAACGTATAACAATACCACAACTTGTCGTCGACGAGCGGCTTGAGCTGCACGTCTGGGTCGTCCCGACCGGTGCTCGTGTACGTGCTGTTGCCCGTTCCCGTGGTGGATTGCGTCCCCGTGGCGATGTCAAAGTTGGACAGGACGCGCGTGAGGATCCGGTATGCGGTTTCAGGTTGGTAGGCCGGGACAGCGTGGCCGGCAGCGTAGGTGCGGATGAAGGAGAGATTGCCGTGTTGGCGGACTAGGCCACCGACGTAGGAGGAGTTGGTCTGGATTTCGGCGTACTTTGCAGAGGCGTAGGAGGAGGCGCCGGACCAGGGGATGGCTTTGGCAACGGCATCGCCGCTTCCCCACTGTGAAGTTCTTGTTAGTGTGGTTGTGGTGGTGAAAGGTGGTAGTTAGGGGAGGAGGTACGTACAGGACAGGCGAAGTCTAGATCGCCGTAGACGAGGGAGACTTTGATTCCGTTGTCGAGGAGGAAACCGAGATCTTTGACCCAGTCGGGTCGGAGATAGTCGCCCATTTCACGAATTGCGGTTGAGGCTTGAACTGAGATGCGTGTCCAATTTAGTGATACGCCGAGTTCTTGTTGCACCCATTCTCTGTTCAAGAAGCCTTCGTGGAAAGGTGATGGGGATTGTGACGGATATTCCGAGAACATATCGTAATAAGTCATATCAGTGGATTCGATATAAGGCCTCACGATGGTTTCGCGGCAAGAGACTTCGGACTCTTTGCAGATTTCGTTGACAGTTACATTGAGACCGAGATTCTCTGGATCATAAAGGATAGCGTTGTCGCGGCAATTTTGGATTTTCTCTAAACATGGTGGGACGGCGGCTTTCATGCGATCGTAGGTTGACTCGTTGACTGCCTCAAAACCATAGCCATTGCCACGGAAGGCCTGTTGAGGGTAGTAAGGATATTGAATGAAGCGATCTATACATCCAGAAATCAAAAGCAGAGTGTCGAGGTGCATGATATAGGTTTGTCCTTCGCCACCTTTCAGAGTACCATTCTCTATGCGCTGGTTCTGCTTTTTCCAGAAAGTCATCATGGCCGGCCCATAGCGACCACCGTATGATTGCGCAGCCAGGCTGATACGGGTATCGTTCGGCAGATAGTGTGGGAACTCTTGGAACCATGCTTGCGCAAAGTGCCATGAGGCGACAGCACCATTGACACTACCAAACGCAGTGTTGTTGGGATTGCGACTGGGGTATGTGCCTGTAAGGAAAGTGCTATTCTGTACAGGGATGGGATCGGTTTTATCTAGCAGTGTCACATTGTTATCCACAAGATTGCGGGTGACATTTTGTAGCGTGTCGTAAGAGCTACACTGGATCAGCCTTTTCATCTCCCGTAGAAATACAAGACTTCACCTACAATCCAACTTGAACTGGCTGATCAAAGTATAGCATATTTACTGGCCCTGGTCAGCAAATTTCACGAAAACAAAGCAAATGACTCGGACATACCATGCTGGTTCCAGCTCCACTCCGCCGGTCTCGTACTATTAGAATCTGGATTCGCGTGACACGGTCCATTCTCCTCAAAGGCCGCAATAACAGAGGAGGAACCAGGTCCACCATTGAGCCAGATCACAAAAGGCGCGTTCGCTGGATCTTCTCGTGCTTCGAAAAACCAGAAGAACTTGATTGGTTATGAGTGCGTGGGCTAGATTGGGGACGGGGGTGGTAGGCTCACGCTGTTGATGGGATAGTCTTGGCCCTGAGCTAGATCCGCAGTACCAGGTGGAAGATATACATGGCCTGAGTACGATTTCACTCCCGGGGTTGTTTCGCAGAGAGAGTTCTATGTTCGAAAGGAAATTGTTAGCCTAATACAAAACCAACCTTCGCCGACACATTCAATATCTCTCTGTTTACGTTACAAGGGAAACATTGATGACATGCCTGTTTATAAGTAATCTTCACTCCATCGCCAAACTTTGACTCCAATACCTTAAGCCCAGTCGGTTGTGCCGGAAACTGAGCGAGCGTTGATCCCACAGCACAGGATAACAAAGTCAAGGCTGCAGACCTTACGTAACGCACCATTATCGAATTCCAAAATCAATCGAGGTGATTCTTTCTGTTTGCCGGTGTACGTGGCGGCGTATATATATTATGGCCTTGGAAGGCCGCCTCCAGTGTGCCTGTTTTGAAACTCCACTTCTGCGACCCGTTCTCATGGCAGTTCCCGCGATGATATTCCGATACCCTCTCAAGAAACCTTGAGTTCGCAGGTAACGCAGAATTTCTACAAATTGAGTTCTGGATTAGCTTTTAAAGGAGGGTGAAGACGCAAGGCCAAGTATCAAGACTACGAATGCGTGCGGAGAGGGCTACGGTTAAGCTACCCTGCCAAAGCTAGATGCATACCGATCAATAATGTACTCAGCATAGACGTGATTCCAGGAAGGAATGTTGTATGGAATTTCAAATTCTATTCATAATAGAAATCTCTGCAAGCTGGTGATCACAGTCGATAGTTGCCGTGAGCGTTATAAAGTTATCGTGTAAGCTACACTTACATACCATAACACCGGAGTCATACCTAATTTCATCCCACTCGAACGCCTGCAGCAAGCCATTAATTCTCCTACGCCACAACAGGGACAACTCTGCCCACCCTCATCTCTTCCCTCTCTTCCCCAGCCTTCTGGAAATCCAAGACCAAGTCACCAAATTGCTCAATCTGATCCTGCGCCTTCGGCGCGCCAATAAGAACGATACCCCTCGGCACGACCACATCGGCGACCTGAAAGCATCCAAATGTAACGACCTTCTTAATCTGTGGGCATGAGCGGAAAATACCTGCTACAATCTCTGTATCCACGACAGGTAGGAAGGAAAGATTGATTTCGGCGAGGTTGGGATACTGTCGGACCCCATCAAAGATCTCCACAAATGCGGCGTGCGAGATGTGCCGGCAAGATGAGATGTCCAGATATTCAAGGCGAGAACCAGAATGCTTCATCATTTCGAGGAAACCGTTGGTCGCAAGACCGATAGGGAAGTCTTCAGGCCCGTCGGGGTTAGTATTGTCCATATCGCGCGTGCTATTCACATCGACATAGCGAAGGGGAGGATTCTCCCAGTTGGCAAAGAGAGCGACGTAGCCGGCGTCACTACACTCGTTGTTCTCTGTGAAGCGAAATTTTTCGAGGTTTCGGCAGGTATTGTGGATATTACTCAGAACTTCATCGGTCGGGTCATTTGTACTGTCTAGGAAGTGCTCGAGACATAGAGTACGGAGATTTGCGCCTACGGAGCTGATAAGGTTGTTCAGTTTCTCATGTGGCACCTCTTGGTAAAAGCGTAGAGTAAGATGCTGCAGGTGTTTGAGTCGAGCAATTGCGTCAATGCTGTCTTCCCCGATGCGTTTGCAACGCTCTATCTTGAGGCGCTCAAGGTTGGGGCAGAAGGTTGTGAGTGCTTCGACGACTTCATCGCCAAAAGCAGCATCTAGCCACTCCACTTTCAAGGAACGTAGATCTTGACCTCGCGCAATGAACAGCTCTATCCACTTCTCGTCCGAGACGAGATTTGCGCCCAAGAGCTGGATATCGGCTAACGCCCTCGCTTTCTCAATCATATAATCGATATTGCTGTCCTTGAACTGGCAGCAATTTCGTAGAGATAGGCGCTTGATATTCGGGCATATTGCGAAAATCTGATCATAATCTTCGGTCTCCAGGTAGGCCGCTTCATGTATTGCCACACTCTCCAAATCTGGATGCAGGAATAGCTTCATCGTGGTGGAGTTCATTGCCCGCTTCTTTGAAAAGATCTCACTGATCCTATTCATGATGCTTTCTGGCATCTCGCCCAATTCATCAATATCTTCTGAGTGCTTCGCGAGTTTTTCAATGCACAGTTGTTGCAGTGTTTTCGGTCCACGAGCCATCAGACCGTCTAGACGGTTGCTTTCAAGTTTTCTGCGACCTTTGCGTATGACTGGGTTCGCAATTTTCTGCTGTGCTTTTGCCTCCTTCTGCATCTCCTTACCACAAGGTGTACATAGCAGTCCGCCCTGGGGTCCAGACTTGCTGTATGGAGTGACTGTAAACCGTTTGTTACACAATTCGCAATTCTCAAGCTGACCCGGTAGTTTCTTCGCCTTTTTGTACATCTCCAAGTCATCTTCAAACTCGGAATTGTCCTCGGAACCCTTCTTTTTCTTCTTCTGAGCCTTCTTCTTATCCTCTTTGCCTTTTTTGATCTTGGCTATCGCCTCACTCTGATGGCGCTTGCGCTTGCGCGACTTCTCCGCTGTGCGCTCAGCTGCCATGGCTGAGGACTCTGCTTGTACGTCTTGCTCAACATCGCCATCGTCATGGCCGCCAGAATTCGAGGGTCCTTCTCCATTGTCTCCTGGCTGCGGGGTGTCCCGTTCGGCTTGTTGCACACGATCGCGGTACGAATCTCGGATGTCTCGCGCAGAGATGTTATTCGCCTTCGCAGATCGTTAACACTGCAGCCTGAAGTTTATGCACAAAGCCCGATGGCTCTATCTTACCGCCAGAAAATCAGTGAGCGCGGAATGCGGCCCCCGGATGCCTGCATTACTCGCTCCTCTGCCTCCTCGCCCTCCACCTCGAGGTCGTCGTCCACTCCTATTGCCACCCGTCAATTTAGCACTCCCACAGATGTCAGTCATATTGCTCACATGTTTGTGCTTTGAATGAAATCAAGGGACAGAGAGTTTCTGTGCGTGACCACGCAAGATCATGAGTGAATCAAATGAGTGGAGAAGAAGTTGCGGCGGCGGCCACAAGGGTCGGGCGCGTGGGAACGGGATCGTGGAACACGTCATCACGTGAGTGGCAATTACATCCAAATCCGGCTAGACAGACAAACCCCACCCCTGAAAGAAAGACATTCACCGGCGGTTGACTCCAGTTTCAAGATTGAGGTATATATCCATTTTGTGAATTAAGAAAGCAAGCTATCACCACCACCTCGCATAATAGATTGACTCAATCGCTAACCTATGGAAATGGATCATACCAAATGGACTTTTCATTATTCACAAGACAACTCATAATTGCTGCATCGAAAAGTGCCATACCTCGCCTTGCTCAAACCGATTTTTGAGTCTTGCATATAAAATCGAGAAAGGAGCAAGCCTATCCTAGATATATAGTCTGAGTCCATGATCAAATCGCTTTGTAAGTAAAAGAAAAGGGAATTGACCACGACATTGGTGGATCGTTGCAACATGACACGATCTGACAAAGAGCACGGGCAAGTTTGACTTGACTATGCCCTCTATAGAGCGCATAGATTAGAAGGGTTTCAGATGACAGTATCGTCATCACTGTCACCGTCGTCCTCATCGTCATTATCATCTTCGTCGCTGTCGCTCCAGTTGTTAGTCAGTGTTTCTCCCTCGCGTTCGGCATCTCCCATCGGTCTCTACAAAGCTGTTAGTATTGTGATTCCCTATTGAAGCAAAAAGATTCTCTCGATCAGCTCTCGAATGATCAAAACGTACCATGGGCCCACCTAGCATGGGAGGTGGATTGCGCGCCGAACGAATCTTGGCCCATCCATTGCTGCGGATCTCAGGGGACGACCGCTCAGCAACACTGGAAGAAAATGTGCGGGCTGATGCTGAAACAGTAGAGTAGGGTGGCTTCCTGTAAGTGTCTTTGTTGAATCCAGAGCCGGAGCTAGGAGGACCAGCAGATGCTGTATGCCAGGACTTGTTGCTGCGGACTTGAGTGAATCTATCATTGGCCCGAGTGGCCGGGTGATCGTACTCGGACCCGATCAAGGACTCATTCACTGATCCAGTGAGATGTGTGGCTTGCAACTGTCTTGATAATGCGATGCCGCTACCACCAGAGTCCTTATCCGTGATGTCTTCAGTGTCGGCGCTAGTTGATCCCCATTCATCACCCTGTATCGGTTAGGGTTTCATGATAGATCTACAGGTAGTGGATGATGAAAAGTCTTACAGCGGCAGGAATGGCGTCGGTCGTAGACTGTTGACTAGACCAGTACTCGGGGACATTGCCACGAGAGTCATTGGCCGGTAGGAAAGCCCTGTCTTGGTCCTCGTATCTCCCGTCATCGATGGCGTGATCATTGACAGCAAGCTCTGTGCACTTGAAGCATACAGCAGTGTCGGGTTTGTTGCGCTGGCTCTTGGCGAACTCCTCCAGGCCCTTGGTGCGACCACATGACGTGCATTCAAGCTCAACGATTTGCTGCCCGGTACACTTCATGCAGTTGACGAGCTGAGTGATTCGACCCTGCTTGAGGATTTGATAGCGAGCATCGGTGAGTTGCTTGCTTGAGAACCTAGCCGGGACGAGGTGAGACTGGCAACGGCCGCATTTGATCTTGGGGGGAAGCGGCACGCCCTTGACTCTAGGAGAGTGTCAGTCGGCGTTGTGGTTGGCAAGGACGCGCGGCATACAGACCTGTCCATGTCTTCCCGGAGGTAGATATGAGTTTGTTGGCGGCGGCCTGGCATCGTGATTAGAAGTTCCGACAATTACCGTGTGGTAGTGTAGCTGGCGTGGCGTAGAAAGGGGATGTCGTTTGTCTGGTTGTGTGAATGAGTGTGGGTCTGTCTGTTTAAGTATCTGAGCCGGCGGAGACAGTCTTATATAGTGAAGGTGTAGAAAGAATACCGATGAAAAGTAAGAGAGAGAGTGAGAGGGGGACTACTAAAACTGCTGCCTAACGGAACATTAGCTTCTAGAAGCTGTGCGGAGAGGTGGGTAAAGGTAGGCCCATGCAGGCATGCAGGACAACTAAGGGAAGGAGCGGTGTGGTGTGGTTATCATGTTCAAACAAACACTTCCCATCTCTTGCCGATTTCGTAGCGGAATGGACAGCGAGATGTAGTCTGCAAGTGGAAAGCAGCAGCCATATAATTTTGCTAATGACAGTCAGATATGGAAATTGCATAGGTAGATTAGGTGGTGTTGAGAGGGTGTGGTAATGACGGAACAAGAGCAATCATGATAGAGATACTGAGACTACAAGTCCATGACGGTAGGCCTAAACCTCCAGTTCAACCGTAGAGTAGTACAGCAGTGTTTTGTTGTACTAGGGAGTAGAGTAGTAGTAGTAGAGTAGTAGTAGTAGAGTAGTAGTAGTAGTAGAGTAGTAGTAGTAGAGTAGTAGTAGTAGAGTAGTAGTAGTAGAGTGGTAGTAGTAGAGTGGTAGTAGTAGAGTAGTAGAGTAGTAGAATATCAGTCTATTCTAATTCTAATTCCAGAGCAATAGAGGACTAGAAGTAGGTAGAGAGCAAGTTGATGCTGCCATGCTAGTATGATAAGAGTATGCTTGTAGTCTAGCCCACAGCCAAATCACCTCAAAGTGACTGTGGAGCCTTGGTCGTCGGAAGAAGGGAGACCATGGAGGAAGCATGACGCCACAACCGAAGAGGGAAAGAGGGACAATTTTGCTAATCGATAAGCGATTCCGCCAAAAAAAATCATGGCCGCCAGTCACGTTGTCCCACATCCCACGGCCATCCATTTGCGCCAACATCCGAGCGACAAAAGAAATACACAATCCAGCAGCCCATTCGCTCAAGGTGGCGTCTATTCCCTTTCGATTCAAAGCAGGCGGCACTGGTACTGGCACTGGTAACCGCACCGCTACCGGCACTATGGCTCCTGTTGTTGCCCAAGCGCACCACCATCGCAGCACAACCAAGCAGCACAAGAAGAACTTCAAGTCCCGCCATGCCTCCAAGGGTGCCCTCAAAGAGCTGAGCAAGGGTGCGAGACCGAAATTCCTACACAGCTCATGCTCCTCTTTTCTTTTTTTTTTCCGGTTTTTCTAACTCGATCTCGCAGGCAAAGTCGATATTCTTGAGCGAGGGTCCCGCCGAACACCCCACCAGCAAGTCATGTCCAAATTCGACCGCCGCAATCGCGCAAAGCAGATGCGCCTAAACAAGGACCACGAACATGCGAAATCCACCAACGTATTCGCCGGTAAAGATGGAGCTCCAAGAATTGTCGCCGTCATACCTCTGTGCGCGGACGCCTCTGCCGCAGCCGCTGTACGTAGTCTGAACACGAGTTTGGATATCGAAGAGACGGTTCCCGAGGCCGGATGGACTCGCACAACTGTGGATCGGTTCAAGCAGAAAGTGCAATACTTGGTGGTCAAGCGAGATCTACTGGCATCATTGGATGCCTGTCGCATTGCAGATTTTGTAGTCTTCATACTGTCCGCGCATGAGGAGGTGGACACCGACGGGGAGCTGATTCTCAAGTCGGTTGAGAGTCAGGGTATATCAAACACCTTCACTGTCGTTCAAGGGCTAGATAAAGTCGAACCTGCCAAGCAAAGACCATCGGTCGTCGCATCACTCAAATCCTACATCACCCACTTTCTTCCTTCCATCGAACGCGTCTACTCCCTCGACAACAGACAAGAAGCTTCCAATTTGGTGCGATCGCTGTGTACATCCACTACCAAAGGCGTACGATGGAGGGATCAGCGAAGTTACATGTTTATCGAAGATATAACATGGTCGGGTGGAAAGTCGGCAGTCAGCGCTGATGGAACGGGCGAAGTTGTCCTAACTGGTGTTGTGCGCGGTCTTGGTCTAAAGGCCGACAGACTGGTCCAGGTCGGCGATTGGGGCGACTTTCAGATCGATAAGATCGTCGCAGCGCCACTGGATACGAAAAAGAAGATTACAGAAGCCGAGATGGCCGTAGACTCGAATGAAGGCAGTGCCTTGGAACAGCCAACCGAGGACCAGGACGATCTAGCCGAACTTGCGCCCGAGGAGACGATCATGGACGACGTAACAAACTATGCCACGTCTATGGCACCCTCTGAGCGCAAGGGTGTGCTACTCGATGATCATCACTACTTCTCAGACGAAGAGCAGGAGTATGAGAAAGTAAAACCCAAGCGACTGCCAAAGGGTACTAGCGACTATCAGGCTGCGTGGTATCTTGAGGACTTGTCTGATGACGACTCTGATCTCGAAGACTTTGACATGGAGGATGTTGCGGAGGCTAGCGAGAGCCAGCCCGCGCATCCCGCAGACGGAATCGAAGGCATGGACGTTGACGGTCAGGCCATGACAGAAGGCGCACCCTCTGAGTATCCGCAATCAGAAATGTTTATGGATCCATCGCCAGAAGATGAAGCAGAGCAAATCGAGGCTTACAGAAATTCGAGAAAGAACGAGCAAGAAGACGATCTTGAATTCCCTGATGAGATTGAACTACATCCCAATGCCAGTGCACGGGAGCGTCTAATCAAGTACCGCGGGTTGAAAAGTCTGAAATCGAGTACATGGGAGACGGAGGAGGATCGGCCATATGAACCAGAAGAATGGCAGCGATTACTTGAGATTTCAGACTACAAGCGTACCGCAACAAAATTCATGCGCGAGGCATGGGCTGGCGGTGTGCCCGCTGGTACACGGGTCAGCGTACATGTGCGGGCTGTCCCTCTCAAGTTTCAGGAGATGCAATCGCGGCCTCTCGCTATGTTCTCGCTACTCAGACACGAGCACAAGCGCACGGCATGCAATTATAGCATCCTGCTCGGTTCCGAAGAAGAGCCAATCCGCTCCAAGACTGAGTTGATCGTTCAATGCGGTCCACGGAGAATGGTCATCAATCCGGTGAGTAGCCCCTTCATTATATGTTGGCCTTTTACAAGGGTCTGCAAAGCTAACATCATCCCAAGCTCTTCTCTCAAGCCGGCAATACCCCCAACAACGTTCACAAATTCAATCGCTACCTGCATCCTGGTCAATCTGCAATCGCCAGCTTCATCGGCCCTCTAACCTGGGGCTCCGTCCCTCTCCTCTACTTCACACGCACACACACATCCACCTCTTCCTCCGATGCTTCCCCAGCCCCCTCCTCCCCCCTCCGCCTCATTGCAACTGGCACATCTCTTCCTCCCAGCACATCGCGCATCATCGCCAAACGCGTCGTGCTGACCGGTCACCCCTACAAGATCAACAAGCGCATTGTCACAGTGCGCTACATGTTTTTCAATGACGAGGACGTACGCTGGTTCAAGAGTTTGCCGCTCTGGACCAAGAGGGGACGCAGTGGGTTTATTAAGGAGAGCTTGGGTACGCATGGGTACTTCAAAGCGACGTTTGATGGTAAGATTAGTCCCATGGATGCGGTGGGCGTGAGCTTGTATAAGAGGGTTTGGCCTAGGGGCGCGAGGGGTTGGAGTGGAGAAGTTGAGGGGCAGGTGTAGGGAGAGAGAAAGGAAAAGGGTGGATGAAAGTATGATTTGCATGATTCATACCTTGGTAGACAAAATGAGTATAGCGTTTGTTTGTTTAGTTTCACGATTAAGATGTGTCGATTGATCTATCGTGATGATATACAGGTGGGTATACTCTTCCAAGATGATAAATAAACGCCATGCAATGCCAAACCACTGCGTGTTATTCCCGCTTTTCCACCCCTCTCCACCTTTCCATCAAAACCCCTTTCTAGCGAACCGCTCAAGCGCAGGCCCATACTCCTTTTTCATCTTCTCCCTCTTCTCCTTTTCCCTCTTCGCACTGACCCGCATCGCCTCCCTCGCCCGCTCCCTCTCCTCATCCACCACATTCTTCGCCCCACTCTTCCTCAAATACCTTCGGAGCGCACTATTTCGGCCCCTACCCCTCTTCTTCAGCTTCTCCACACGGTCCTCCTCCTTTTCGCCCTTGTACGCCTTCCACTCCTTGTCGCGTTGCGCCTGCGACGCCAGGTCCAGGTTACCAATGTAATTGGGATCGAGGGCGATCATCTGCGGTTGAATCTTTTCGAGCAGGGCGTGGACTTCTGTTTCACGGCGCTGTGTCGAGGTTTCGTAGGGATTGGTGCCGGCTTCCATTGTGTCTGGGTTGGGTTCGCCGGCGCCGGGGACGAGGATGGAGGTGAAGCCGCGGTCGTGGGAGATGCCGAGGACGTCTTCGAAGGGGCAGAAGCGGACGCGGCCTACGGAGAGGCCATCGCCGCCCCAGCTCATGTAGGGCATTTTGGAGACAATGTCATCGGGGGAGGAGGTGAAGAGTGAGGGCTTGTAGATGGCAGTTTGGGTGCCGAAGCCAACGGCGGTGAGGTTGCGATCGGAAATGGAGAGGGTGGTTCCGGGAACGCGGAGGTGGTGCGAATGTAGTTCTTTATACATGCGAATATCCCAGACAGACATGCGGCGGTCTTGGGATGTGCTGACCATATATTTGCCCGACTTGTCAATGGCGATGCTACGGACCGGGCCGTGATGTGGGAGCAATTTGACAAGAGGTGTGGCGCTGTTGGGAGACCAGAGGGTGACGAGACCTTTTTGATGGCCAACATGGAGAATAGCGTTGTGGGGATTCTGGGCCAGCGCAGTCGAAGGGCCCAGCTTGGTGTAGAGCTGGTCAAGGGATTGACCGGTTGAAACGTCGGTATAGCGTATTATGCCTGCGGTGGAAACGGATGCGAGAAGGAAGTGGTAAGGGAGATATTCGAGGTGGGTGGCTTCCGAGTGGTTCTTCAGTTGGTGCATTTCCACGCCGTCGCCGGAATAAATGTACACGCACTTCTTCTGGGCTACTGCGAAGTTCTTCTGGTTACTCGTGTGCAGCCATCGCGCGTCCCGGACGGTCTCGTTGAGGTTCAATTCGCAACCTAGTTTCCCGTCTCTCCAGTCAAAGGTTGCGACATGGCCCTTCCTACTTGCGACTAACAAATCTCGCCCGTTGCGACTGTATTCGCATACATCGTATGGGCCCAAATCATCCAATCGCAGCTCAAAGCCTTTCTTTGCGGTCTCAATGTCGACCTCCCGCTTGATATCATCCTGCCGCACTTTGTATGTCCGTTCAAGCTCGTGCTCAGGTTCTAGTAGGCCAGCGTCGTTCTCCAACAAGATCTCGACATTCTTTGCATCCAGCACCGCCTGCTTGTTCTTTGATTCCAGTGACTTGAGGTTCGCGCGTAGTTTCCTGTCTTTGACCGACTTTGGCCGTATCCGCTCGCCCCGTCCATAGCGTTGTGTGGCTTCTTCTGTGAACTTTGCCAGCGCCTGCGTTTCTTCATCGTCGATCGGCGCACCTTTTCGCGCCTGGCGCTTTGGCTCTAAGGCTGTGGACTTTGGCCCTTTGTCGTTGGCCATGGTCGTGAGAGAGGTGTCCCTGGAGACTTTCCCGGCAGTGTATTTTTCACGGGCTAGATCCACACAGGTCAAGTACAGGATAAAGAGTGGTTGTGAAGCGTCTGGAAGACCAAGTCGTGAGGCGCAAGGCGTTCCCAAAAATTAATATTCTGCCACTCTTGACCGCATCGAACTCTTGGCGGAGCTAAGGCACCATTAAGCACCGGCTCCATTTGGCAACGGAACGGAGAGTTCAAAGTCATCAAGCAAGACCATTACCAGGACATTTAGCATGGCATCATGTGTCCGAACAGCTGTGTCTCATAGTCATATAATCCTAACGCGAATGTGAGATCATTTTTTTCCTTTAATGTTCACGAGTCTAGGAGCAGTCGAGAGACGAACCCTCATAGCGGGATATTTGGTTCGATGAGCTGCCTATCTGCCGGTAGAGTCCATAGAGAAGCAAAGATATCTGTTTATAATTTGGTCTAGATGGGCAGCCAAAGGGAGACGTAATTTCAAGGTCAATAACTATCACGCGATACCACAGGACGTGAACACTAACACGCAGCACACCCCTATGAAATCTAGTCCACTACAACTACCGGTATCAGTCACTACTCAGGAAGTATGGCTGATGTCGCTCATCGAGTGATGACATGTCGCACCACCTACAGTCTGAAAGATTACCTGTCCTTTCACCGGGTTCTGTGCATTCGTTCTATACTTCCGCCACAGGTGTTTATCAAACTTCGACCAACCTTCAAATGGGTTAGCTGTTCAGATGCTGGCGTCTTCAAAGATCTGAGAAACTTCAGCTTTTGCAGCTTAGCCAGTACTAGTATTGGTTCGGCCTGTATTTAAAAATTATGTACTCTGTAGAGCCCGGCGTGCACAGTACATCTCCGAAAGAGTGCACCCTCATCCTCTGTAATCTTCAAGTTAATTTGCTATTCAATGCTCTTATCAATATTGAGATGGTAGTCTATGAGGCTACCCATCAAGATCTCCCTATCCCGATCCTGAACTCTGCATGACCGAGCTATCACTAGCATTACCAGACCACTGAAGCTAGAAAGAACAAAATGAGATTTTATAAATTGCTGACGCCGTCACGGAAGCTTATCAGTAGTTCCGGACCGCAACTATCATAGCGTCATCACCCACGTCGTCGAACCTGCGAAGTTAGTCGGAATCGAGCCCCAGCGCATCATCAAGCAAGTCCCACAAGCTTAACGCGCATCAATTACACGTCGCCGTCTTCAGAGGAATATTTTCTGAGCCAATACGGTGGCTCGATAGACTCGAAATGGCGGGGTTTGCCCCTTTAAATGGCTCGACGGTAATATGACCGTGATCCTCGTTGGCACATGCTTACCTGAGCTGAGCGGTCACAGGCATTGTGGAATATCACCCGAGGGCTACGAGGACGTATCTGAGCATAGCATTAGCTTAGAAGTTTAATTCTGTTGATGGGCAACTGCCTCATATGCGAAAATTTCTACAATATTGACATCATACCAAGATACCTCCCGTATGTTAAAGTTATATCAAACTGAATCGAGGTTTTGTATCCCTACCAGATTTAATCCATCATTTGGACTACGTGTAAGCTAGTCTATGGGCAGATTCTAAGACATAGACCCACTCCGAGAAACTTACACCTGGTTAAATTTATGCGTCTAGGAAAGTTTCAAGACTTTTAAAGTCAAACTTCAAATCTGCCCTCCAGATTTTGGTCAATGAATAAACTGCCCATCTATGATTTTGGTATATACGTACCCCGGTTTAACGTATACACCATGTGGACACATGCGTGAATGTACACGAGGCAATATGAACGATAAATTACTTGATACAACAGAACATAAAGAGCATGACTATACGTTGATTATTGAGCATTTTATACCGCCGCGATTCAAATGCCTTTATCTACAGTTACTGTTGTGGTCGAACGTTACAGAAGTCGTGCTGTCGTTTTCATGTACCGGCGGTATTCTTCTCAGCTATGGTAGTTACAAAGGCATAGAGAACATTAATCCAGTACAGTATACTCCAATCAAACAGCGCTGTCAAGTCTACGAATAAAGAATCTTGACATTGTTGTTCGTGCGAACTCGTAGCAGTTCTATTCACCCTACCATACTTTATGCAGCCAAACGGTTTTTCCTGCATGGATATAGCTATTGCAACCTCAAAGCAGTACATAAACAAGCCACTCAACCATGCTATATACCAAGTCACAAATCGATCTGGTGCTCTCCTGCCGAACTCAAAACAGCCAGTAGACGGCGATTCAACCGCGCGCTTTCCTCTTGGATACGAATCAGATCTCGCAATATGTCCGGAATATCGTCGTGGACAATGGATGGGAGAGGAAATGGAGAATTCTTGGTTTCGGATGGTCTTTCTGTGTCTTTGCACTTCTCCCGTGTCGCTGAATCCGCCAGAGGAGATGCGTGTTCGATTGGACTTACTGCTCCTAGGTCGCTGGGGGTGTTTGGTGGCTGTGATGTTTGGGGTTGAGGGAGTTGTTCGAAATGCTCTTCTCCACTGGGAGGGGATGGGGTGTTGGGCTCATGTGCGTTGTTGGAACTTGAGGATGTCGGTGTGGAAGAGAGAGTTGAGGGCGCTTTAGGTATGGTATTGTTGGGTTCAGACACATGGGTTAGTTCTTGCCGCGTAGTGATTATCCTTGGGCGCATGAGCTCTTCGATCACATCCAAGGAGGTATTTGAATCGTGGGATGAACCCAGATTTTCGCCAGAGGGATATGAAGTGGCAGCTGGTGGTAGAGCGGTAGCCTCCTCAGCGGCAGCGTGTTTCTGTTTCGCGTTTCTAGACTGCCTAGACTGTAAAAAACTTAGTCAAGTATAGATATTCGCAAGATTTGGCTTGCTATTTACAGTTTCCGTTGATTCCTTTGCGTAGTCTGCCAGAATTTCGTGCCATTTCTCTACTTTTGACGTCTCTCGAGAGTGCAGGCTCTGTGGAATGGAGTACATGGCGATGCCGCACAAAGCACTGACGAGATAGAATGTCAGAATCCCAACAGATCCTAACCCGTACTCAGGCACGAGTTTTGCAGTATACAGCTTGCCAAGATAGATTCCTAGGCCCATCAGAAAGGCATTTAGTGCGACGTTGAGAAGGGATCTCGGGACAACAATCATAACGGCCGCATAAGGTGAAGCTACGCTTCGATTGTCTCCGTCGAGGAGACTGATGAGTTTTGTGAACTCGGCCGACTCAATGTTCTGGCCCTTCTTCCGACGCTCAATCGCTTTCTCTATTCTGTAGCCCATCCTCCGTGATGAGGGTAAGAAGACGAAATCTTTGATGTCATCGGAACTGTGTAGTCCGTTGATGAGAAGGCTGATGGCGCAAGAAAAGAAGACAGAAAGGCTGCCCGTGACTAGGCTGACAATGAAAAAGGCATGAGCTGTCCAGTGTGAGTCTGCGATGTTTGTCAGACTCATGGCTGAGATTGCAACTTGCGCGATGATGGCTCCCTGATCTCGAAGAATAAGCACATGATGTGAATGAAGAGCCGTTCGTATACTTGCAGCAATTCCAATCATGTTAAAACTCGATGTTTGTGACTGAATAAAGGCAATAACGTGCTTCTCATCTGCCTTTCGTATATGGCTTTCAACTCTGTCCATAATGGCGAATGCATCGAAAAAGAAAGTGTACAAGATCCACGTCTTGAAATGTCCATATTGAAGTAAACGCCACCGGTACTTTGCCGAACGCTGAGTGATGAAATATACTCCATCGCCATATCCTTGGATTATAGAAACGAGGAAGGGCAAGGCTCCCAAGAATGCTCCGGTAACTTCGATGCCAGACATGGTCGTCCCGCTTTTGTGGGGATGGATTGAATGAGATCAGGCGATGTTGTCACGATTAGCTTATAATGCGAAATCATGTATAGTTAGAGAAACAGCTATGATTTCTTTGTCTTATGGCGAGCATAAAGTGCGAGGCTGCAGAAGTCAGCTGCCGCTGAGAAAAGCAATTGGGGGCCTGATGCACTCAGCTACACTGTGGCGCACACACTTAGGTATTTGGTCACAAAGCGCCACATACATGATTCCTCCGGTGGTATTAATATGGCACTTATTGTTCTCAGGTGTGACTGTCGATAGCCTGGTCTGCTCCAGTCCTTCATGAGAGAGCCGCATCCATTAACTTAACCCACCAGGCATTGACGGAGGCAAGAAGGAAGCAACCATACCATGGACATCAATTGCATGGTGTGTTACCAGATCTAGTGAGAAAGTGATTTTTGCTGCCTTGAGCGCGCTTCTCTATCTTTCCAGCCTAATTTTCCGCATCTAGACCACGCACCAGGCAATGCGAACAGGATCAGCTTTTCCATAAGCCCACACAGAAGTAGACTGACAACTGACGAAAATGGCAGGATCCTAGCTCGGTGCAGACGATCACGCGCTCACCATACCAACCCCAACATTTGAAGAGATATTCATGGTCTTCAGAAGATCCGGTCCAAGCCTATGATTGGTCTTCATCACCACTTTCCTTGAAAGAATCCGCCATCATGTACACGCCGGCCTCCAATGCTGCAGCATACATCTCACAGGTGTGACTCAATGTCTGCAATCCCAGCCCACCCGCCCCAGCACTCTGCGCTGCTGCGAACCAACTACTAACCGCTACGTCCCCATACAATGACTGGAACAGCGCTGCATACGTTCCTAGCCATGCCTGTCAGACTCCATTCACTAAAGCACAAAGCGTGGTGGAGTAAGATAACACAATAGAGTACATACCTGCGCCAACAGCAGGAACGAATCCCAAAGCACTTAACGCCGCGGGAACAAGAAGCTTACAGGCTCCTTTGTGGGCGAAGTAGAGCGCGATGGTATGGAGATATTGGTTGGTGTGGCAGGTGTCGTCGGGTGGGTTAGTCGAATGAGATGTATGTTCTTGCCAAGGTGTGCCGAAGACCATGGCTGGTGATGGAGGGAGTGTTATTTGTGCGGCTGTGAAGGTGTGGTGGGCTCCGTTGGAAGAGACGTTGAAGAAGAGGGACATGAGTATTGGCGTTATATGAGTTGGAAGCAAACCGACGCCTTATTTGTGGAAGGCACTAGGAGTAGGCCAGTTTGTTTGCTTGCTGATCTAGTACTGGCGAATCAAGATAGCATATACTGAATTGGTTCGGGTAGGATCGTTTTGCTTGCGACATCTCTTCAACCTGATGTCCATTCGTCCCTACCAAAACAATCGTCCTCTCCAATTGGCTAAATTATGCGGTATCGCAGGTGTTTCCCTGTTTCAACGAAAGAGACCACACTCCTGGTATGTCTAGTGCAGTCCTAGAGCGCAAGGTGATCTTCGTCTATACGCAGTGGTGACAACTCTCTTTTTTAACGGTGCAGGTAGCGAGTAACTCGAGATACCAGTTCTTGCTCACTTTAGATTCGATCTTGTCATGTGGCTCCTCTTTCGGTTCACCAGCATCGGAAGTCTTGTAGTTAATTGTGAGGGCGAGAGCGGTTTGCTGTAGGATGGGAGATGCTTGAACCGACGTTGACAGAATAACACCCCAATTTTTAGTTTTTTTGTGTTTTACTTTCAGGTCCCCTTTCCTTCAAAGATCGAACGTGCGAGCGGCTTTGCAGTTGTCTGGAGATTGTGGAGGACGAGACAAGCCCATAGCAGAATACAGTTTGACCGGTGTCGGAGTTTCAATTGGTATTGATTCGAATCTTTGTCTCGCAAGGAGGTTTGTCCATGCAATCGGCTTGGGGCTAGTTGATGTTCGCTCGTAATGTTGCTGTGGCGATGTACCTCAAACACGTACAGCTATATGTTTCACTAGGGATCCACTAGACTTGCCACAAGGTGCTGTTCAATGAGTCCCCTGATTGAAAATGGTACTGTTCCGAGAGACCGAGAGTGTATGATATTCCAGATATCGAACAGTCCGCCTCGATTGAGAGTCATTTTGCTGTGCATGATATGCCTCACAGTCCTTGCTTGCATGCTTCGCTCTTGCTCAATCCCCACGTTGCGGACGCACTTCGGTCATACGAGCTGGAGAACTGATGGTCGCATTACTCATCGAGGTAGTTGTCGCATTGCCCAGCCAGCTGCTTATCGACTTGGGCATTGAAGCTGCCGCTGAATAGCTATCCTTGCAATCGATCCTAATCACCGTCTCATTCCAAATGCTGCAACAACGGAAGCAGGAACCACTGTGGTCAAGAAACTACAACCTGATTGGCACTTGAAGAGGGATCGTTCTGTACGCATATCACTTACAAATGCTTCCGGGCAAAGCAACTTCGGGGTTCCACATTGTTGCAAGCAGACTTTCTGTCCTCGTGGATTGATGAGAACATCATGGGGGTCCTTCCAGTCCTCTGTGGTGGCCGCGAGAGTGTCCAACATCATCATCACCATCATCAAGACGTACAGGTAAAGCATGGTGATGGTTGCCGGCCAAGATTCGATGAAGTTAGGTCATGTACATAGTACACGTACAGAAGAAAGGTGTTTATGCTACGCGACGGGCGCTGTGAGATCCAATATGAGGTTCCTTGGGCGCGGAGGCACGCTAAGTTTAGTGCAAGTCTAGTGCAAGCCAGGATTGGTGTGGAACTGCGCTTGGTCGAGTGAAGTCCCGGGTAGTCTGGATCATTCGGGGTTCATCAATGCGATGTAGGTGCTTGTAAATGTGAAGATCAGCTGCCGCATCTAAATTCCATGTATTTATTTCCCATCGTGCGCTTTCGAAAATCATTGCCAAGGTAATCTCAACATAAGGGGCTTCGGGCTACTTGTCTAAGGCGGCCCGATCGGAGGCTTCGGAACTTGACGTCCTCGGGGAAGTCAAGTTCAAGACTGTCGACAAGGCTGTATTGTGATCCTCGTCTTCGAACGCTCCACAAGATGTCAAGATCCCAAAATCCCAAAATCCCAAAATCCCAAAATCAACCGCCTAGAGAAAGAGAATGGGGGGAGACCGCAGTAGATCCTTAGTACTGCTCATCGCAAAAGTTGAGCTGATCGCGTCTGACATGCAGGCGGGCAGCCCTTTTTGATTTGGCGGTCTGCCAAAGTAATGCCGCGTTCCGTAATACAGTACTCTTCAGACCCCCAGGATCGTATCCTGGACCCATGGTGCGTACGTACATACGTGGTGGTACACGGTTTGATCAATGAAAATTATCACTTCGTGTGGACTTGGATTTCACACACAGGCACTGCTCATTAGAGGCGATGATCTCGGCGGAGAACAGCGTTCCGACACATGTGAAATTGCAGATCGAGTACAGCCATATCCTCAATCTGTATGCGGAGTGATTTCGGTGCCAGTGGGGCCTGTCGAGTCTGTCATGGAAGCCTCCTCAGGTGAGTTTGCATGAGGGCTTTCCACTACGACCGTTCTTCGTTTCGATTGTTTGAGTTGTCGCTTTGCGCCAACAGGAAAACGCTTCTTGCTTCCACAGTAGCAGCATTGAAGGACCAGAACATCTGCCCGTGGCTTCTTGCCGCCTTTGCTCGTATTTTCGATGCGCTGGGTAGCGGTTTGCCCAGGCACAAGGATGGTGTTGCAGCTTTTGCACATGGTCCGCTTCAAGTCGACCGCTAAACGTAGCTGTGCTTTTCTAGAAACTTGCTGAAGATCGGAGCCCAGTTGGAGAGCAACAGCAGAGTGACTGTGAGGCAGTGAAGCATCATCATCTACAACGCTTTTCTCAACCGCAATTGGCGATTTGATGCCCCGCCCTTCGATTGTCTGCAACGTGAGATATGTGGCTGCCTGGTAGAGAAAGGTAGTCCGAGCGTGGAGATGTCGGTTAGGAATGCCTTTGAGCTTGAGAGCCTTGGGCAGCTTGACCTTGCTCATTGTGTTTGTGTGTGACAAAGGGTGCTGCTGCCTAGTAGTAGGTACCTGGATGTTTTCGGTGGGCGTGGGTAGGAGGAGTATTATGTACAAAGCTTGCTCGCAATCGTTGGTCGATGTGAATTGTACCTGAGTGCGAGACTGCTCACGACTTAGATCCGAATGATACCATGGTTAGTCCGCCATTGCAGGATATCTTGAGCTCGGTGAGTTGTGTTTTTCCCTGGTGGCGGTCCCCCGTCAAGAGTGAATTCGAAAAGTTCGTCCATGATCGCTCCTGCCTCGGAAGATCTGCGCACGGATGTTGACAGCCGCGTTGAGTTTAGCGGTATCCTCGCTGGGTTAGCGGCTGGGCAGAGTCAGCTCCAGTTTTACTCGACAACACCGCCCGCGTCCTCCCCTCCACAACTCCACAACAACCACCGCCCAGCAGCTGCAGCGCACACTTTGACTTGTCGCGCATAGCAATCCCGCACGGCCAGTACTAATCTCCTCTTCTCAGTAGCTTTGCACGGCTTTCCGCCGCCTTTGCCACTTCTGTGCGGCCCTGCCCATCGCGGCAGCCTTGTTTGCGACACGTGCAGCCACCGACGACGACGGTACAAGCTCTCACCTTCACTACCGCGCAATTTCCAGCCAAGATGTCTCACGAGGAGGATCTCATCGACTACTCCGACGAGGAGATCGCGCCCACTGAAGCACCCGCCAACGGAAGCGCTGCCGCAGCCAAGAGTGGCCTCACCGCCGGTGACACTGCTGGCGACAAGAAGGGCAGCTACGTCGGCATCCACTCGACCGGTTTCCGCGACTTTCTTCTCAAGGACGAGCTCGTACGAGCGATCACGGACTGTGGCTTCGAACATCCGTCCGAGGGTTAGTCTAATTATCCCCCTCAGCCTCACCTACAAGCGTCCGTCCGTCTGCGCAACGAGCGCTGTGTATTGTGCCGCCCTAGCCCCTGTCGCCATCTATGGGCTTGCGTCCAAACTGTACATGAACCCGATTGTGGCGGCCCAACCTATCAAGAAGCCTTTCCCTCTCGATAAGTTCACTCCAGCGGTCCCCCAAGACTGCGATTGGCGTACAAGTGCCCTCGGGGGTAGCAAGATGTAGACCTGCCTGGGCCGGTTTCGAGGATAACCAGGGCAGGCTCGCTCGACGGACGGACGCTTCGTTTCGATCGCTTTAAGAATCATTCTGACATACATTGTGCCCTCTAGTCCAGCAGGTTACCATTCCACAGGCCATTCTTGGAAATGACGTTCTGTGTCAAGCCAAGTCTGGTCTGGGTAAGACCGCCGTCTTCGTCCTCGCAACTCTGCAGCAGATGGATGAGAAGCCAGAACCCGGGATCGCTACCATCCTAGTCATGTGCCACACCCGCGAGTTGGCGTACCAGATCAGGAACGAGTACAACCGCTTCGCCAAGTTCTTGCCTGAAGTCAAGGTCGGTGTCTTCTATGGAGGTACGCCTGTCCTGAAGGACATCGAGCTTCTCGGCAACAAAGAATTCCATCCACACATCATTGTCGGCACACCCGGTCGCATCAACGCATTGGTTCGCGACAAGCATCTGCGCCTTGCCAACCTCAAGCACTTCGTTCTCGATGAATGTGACAAGATGTTGGATCAGCCCGGTAAGCATCTTCCTCACGAGCAATACAGCAACGGTCTAACCTCGGCTTAGATATGCGCAACGATGTGCAGGCCATCTTCCGAGCTACACCCGCCCACAAGCAGGTCATGATGTTCTCAGCCACTCTCAACAAGGACGTTCGTGTGATTTGCAAGAAGTTCATGCAGAACCCTCTGGAGATCTACGTCGACGACGAGAAGAAGTTGACGCTACACGGTCTCCAACAGTACTACATGAAGCTCGACGAGCGTGAGAAGAATCGCAAGCTGAATGATCTTCTTGATAGCTTGGAATTCAACCAGGTCATCATCTTTGTCCGATCGACTCTGCGCTGCACGGAACTCGACAAGCTTCTTCGCGAGTGCAACTTCCCGAGCACGGCAGTGCACTCTGGTATCGGTCAAGAAGAGCGGTAAGTCTATCTGGGTTGCGTACATTGAAGCGGCGCAAGCTAATAGAAACGTAGTATTAAGCGTTACAAGGAGTTCAAGGAGTTCCAGACTCGTATCTGTGTCTCTACCGACATCTTTGGTCGCGGTATTGACGTGGAGCGCATCAACGTGGCCATCAACTACGACATGCCCGACAAGGCGGACTCGTATCTGCACCGCGTCGGTCGTGCCGGTCGTTTCGGAACCAAGGGTCTCAGCATCTCGTTCGTCTCCAGCCCCGAAGATGAGGCGGTTCTCAAGTCCATCGAAGAGCGCTTCCAGGTCTCACTTCCCGAGTTCCCAGAAGACGGCATCAACTCTTCCACCTACATGGACAACTAGAGTTGTGTGGCGGTGGAGAAGAGGATGTATCGAGTGAGGGGTTTCGGTCTTGGCTTGTTTTGCCCCGCCTCGTGCGTAGGAAAGAAAAGGTCTACCCATGTCTTCTTCTGTCTTCTGAGGCAGAGGGGGAAAGAAGTCGGGCCATGGCGCAGCAGGGAATTTGGGTTTTGGGCCGAGGAGATTTAAAGTGCGAGGGTTTAAGTTTCGAGATGAAGATGCCAGAGCTACTGTGCTTGCCTTGCTGGCTGCCTGAATTGGGATCATGGTAGTAGATTGAAATACTTGTCCCATGTCTGGCATTTCTTGTTGCTGCGTTGTGTGATGTCTGCCATGTGCATTTTTTTTACGAGTCGAGCGAGGTGGGGAGTCGTCGAGCCTTTGCATTTACCGTTGACAAGCTCACCAACTCTCTTGTCTTGACCTCTCTCTTGACCTCTCTCTTGACAAGAGTTGGCTACCACCCCATCCCATGACACCGGCTCATGAAGAGACGCCCGAGTCGGCACACAATCCAGACGCCGGTTTGCATGAATTTCCGAGCTAAGGATATAGGCTTCAGGATGCAGGATGCAGTGTTCATGTCTGAGAGGGGGTTCCGCGGCGTGGAGTCGGGATTGGGGATTGGATGGTGTTCGAGAGGAGAGGAGAGGAGAGGAGACAAGGGAGACGAGAGATGCAAGGTACCCATGCCCATGCATCCACATCTACCCATCCCTATCTATATCATATATGATGATCACATGCTATCACCTCACATCAAACGCACAACTGACAGTCGGGCAAAGGGGTAATGAGCGATCTTTACCCGCCAACGGGGAATGCAATTCGAACAAAGTCTGCAATCCAATCCGCATCCCTAGTCGAGCGCTTTGACTCGTACATACCGTACGGCACCATGCACGAAGTTTGCGTTTCGTACATGTACGGTGTTTTGCTGCCACTGTTGCTGTCACTCATCAACTCCTCTCGCCTACAGAGTACTCTACAGCACAAACGGGTCAACAACCCAAGAAACGACAAATGCAGACTAGGCTACGCGCTCAAGGGCTTGCGTCGTTGGGCGGGCGGGCTGGCTGGCAGACTGGGTCTACGGTGGCGCAGTGCGTCTGGAAGGGGGAAAGCATGTTGTGTGATGTGTTGTGTTGTGTTTCTCGGTACGAAGGGTGGCGTTGTGGCTCAGACTTGGGGGGTTGCAGAGTGCGGTTGGAGGGGTGAGACAAGGGCGGTGGGGGATGCAGGAGTGCAGGAGCGTGTACAATACAGAATGCAATCCTGTTTGGGGGAGGGGGGGTTTTTTTTTGTTTGTAAGTAAGTAAGTACCGATGTGTAGACGATAGGTAAGAGTAGAAAAGAAAAGGATCGAGCGACAGTGAACGTCGGGTATATTTTACGAATCAAGTCAAGAGCAAGCCAGGCCAGGCTGGTCTTTCAATGCACCATCCCATCATCTCATCTCAACTTATTTAAAAAAAAAAAAAAAAAAAAAAAAAAAAAAAAAAACTTGTGCAAGACTTGTGCAAACCGCATGCTCAATGCATCCACCTGCACAATCCAACAGATCAAGCGAAGTGGCGACTATCGCCTCCCGACACGGTTCCTCGGCCGATCCAACAGGGCACCGTCCCGCCATGGAGATTCCCTGCTATAGCCTACTTATACCCCCATCTATGCCATGTACTTGTCATCCAGGGGGAATCGGATTCTCCATTTCCCATGACGGATGCCACCCAATTTCGTCATTGCCTTTCCTACACCGAATGGAGGCGAGAGGGATGAAACACCAGGTCAGCCCTGCGAGAGTCCATCATCTCTTTGCACGTACACGTGACGCTGTCGAGGAGTGCTGTCTGTTGTGCGGTTATCCGCAGGGCTTGCCTCGGCATCGCTCGTGGTTTTACAGGACGAGATGTCGTCAGCATGGGGGGATGATTTGGCCGCAGAACCAGCGTGAGAGTGTGAGAGCGCGAGAATGATCCCGGGGCGGCCGTGTGGCGGGCCAACGAACCGTTCAGCGAGGCCAGGGCATCTATTGACAAATTGTCATCTCCGCTGAATGGGGCCTACATGTTCTATTGTTTCTACGGATTGTATTGTCCACTAGCGTGTCGGAAGGAGAGTTGCAGCCAAGGCCAAGGATGTTGGGGGACTTCCAGGCTTCCAAGCTTGGAATGGCTGGCAAGCGCAAACCATGGGCTGTGGACAAGCCTTCGGACAAAGCGCGCCCTTGGGCCGCTCGAGCAGAAAAGGGTCAAACGGCGTACCGACATGAAAAGCACGCTGTAACATGGTGGATTAGGGGAGCTCGGGAGGGACAGAAAATGCTGTTGGGAGTCGGACCAGGCTTGGGGCGGGCTGCAAGATGGTGCTGGCGACGAGGCCATGGCTGCTGATAAACGTTTGCAGGCTAGGAGGATAAGCGACTCAGGACCGCCCTTGGCAAGGTTTCCTACTCAGGAGACGTGTGCGAACGAGGACGGAGGGTAACTACATATTTGGAGAGTGGACAGCAGCCGGTATGTATCAAGGGACATGGATAATTTCATCGATGCACTCAGTCGTCGCCCAACACGTAGCTAAACACTACAGGGGCAACAGAAGACAGGATGGCTGACTCTGTGCAGCACGTCATACCTGGCTGATGCTGTGGCGGCTGTTTGGTGTGTCGAGGCACACTGCGATACAGCCGGGACGTCCGTAGCGGATGGCTAGTAGGTAGGTAGTGAGTGGTAGTGGTAGTGGTAGCATAACTCTCTTTGACGACGGAGCAAGTCTAGCGATCAATCCCGATGCGCCATCCGAGTAGTCAGTCGAGCCGTTGAGATTCCCAGCTCCCACTACGCAAGACGGTACGGTGTGTGTAGGTACTATCCTATTCATTCGCTGGTACACAGGACCGGAAGGGAAGATCGGCGGTCACGACAAGTCAAAATCCTTCTTACTGCAAGTAGTACACTTGTATGAGCTTATTTCCACGATGAGAAAGGAAAAAAAAAGGGGGGGGGGGGGGACCCGGTGGAGTGGAGTGCAAGATGCAGAGCAGCTGTTTATAAATAAACCGGTCGCGTGGCATGGGCGGTAATGAGCGTCGGCAGCGGATGAGTGAGGAAGCCAGCACAGAGAGAGAGAGAGAGAGGGCTGAGATGAGAGGCTGAGATGAGAGGCTGAGATGATCATGGCCTTATACCGGGCCCTATCTCGGACGGGACCCAGCCCCTTTGCGGGCTGGGGGAGGAGGGATACCTATTCAGGCTGGGGTTGGGATGAAAGGTTGAAGTGAACCAAGGCCGTGGACTGGAGACTTGACAGCGGTTGCACGGGCGGCTGGTTGCGGTGGGTGTGGTGAGATGGATGCCTGCATGGATCCAGGGCGGTTGGCGGAGATGGGGCTTGGCCGACGAAGCGAACATCGACGTCAGACGCGTGGAGCCGGTGTGAGGATTGGGGTGTGGCGATTGGCTGCTAAGAAAGCTGTTGGGTTTCGTGCTGATGTGGTTTTGAGTCTGGAGAGGTGTGCTTTTGGCCAGTCTAGCTTTTCAGGACGGCTTGGAGGGCTACTGTGAGAACGGGGCCTGGGTAGGCAGGGTGGTGAACGGGCGTGTAAGACACATGAGGTGCTGGCGGCTAGCTACTGGTGTTTGGTGTTTGGTGTTTGGTAGGTGGGCAGGGCATAGTGTGTAAAGTATGTGTTGTAGAGGACCGGTTCATTCCATCGTTCCATCAATTCATCGTTCCATCAATTCATCGTTCCATCCTCCAACACACCAGGTACCGGTTACGCGTCGCGTGTGCAGGCAAAGCGCAAGGATTTCTTCAATCCGGTCCTAGTAGTGAGCCAGGTTGAAAAGGCCAGGGCCAGGCCAGTCCCCGTGAGATGGTCCGCTTGTTGCAGCGTGTGGGTCGGCCGACAAGACGAAGCGGATCTCCAGGCAGAGAGGCCGGGGTGCCGCGCTTTCACCACGACAAGTATTGTATTGCCACTACAGGCCTTGGCAGTGGGCATTCGCAGTCGTCGCCATGAGTTTTGATCATGGTCTGCTTTTCTGTTCGGCGCTGAAAGCAGGTGGAACGGCCGGTAGAGGTGCAGGTCCTGTATGTCTCTACCTTGCTCTACTTCTTCACTAGAGCGATGGAGCCCCTGGTCAGCTCGCTCCATTGCAGAGCTCGTGCTGCCGCCATGTAGGTCACCATCCCTAATACCTGGTACCTACCTACCCACTTACTCAGGTTGCAGGCTGCACGTACACACACACACAGACATACACCGTACATACATACATACATACATACATACATACATACATACATACTCTAGTAGCTAGTCGTTGGGCATTGTCTAGGCATTCAATGTGAGGTAGTACCTAGCTTGGTGATGACTTGTAGTAAAGGCAAACCAAACAAAAAGCTCTCTATTGACAGGACCGGACAGGTCCAGGTAGGTAGGTAGATGGACAGTAAAGTAAGCTCTAAGAGCTGAGCACTCGCTGGGGCTGGCAGGGCAGCCTGCATCCACACACCCACACCCATCACCCATCACCCATCACCCATCACCCATCAACACCGCATCCACCGGCCACCGACATCTTTGTGCCTTGTCTGTGCCTTGTCTGTGCCTGTCTGTGCCTGTCTGTGCCTGTCTGTGCCTGTCTGTGCCTGTCTGTGCCTGTCTGTGCCTGTCTGTGCCTGTCTGTGCCTTGTGCCTTGTGCCTGTTCCCCCAATCTCCCTGCTCCGCCCACTCCCGCCCGCCGCCAGCAAGTTTCGACACACCCACCCACCCACCATTACCACCACCGTCACCACCACCACCACCACTACCACCACCACCAAACCTCACCGACCGCGTCTTCTGCGCCTTCTCCTCCCACAACCTCCTGCCGCCCTCTTTTTGCCTTTTTCCCTCCCCCCTCCCCTCATTCTCTCTCCCTCTCTCTTGTTCTCGACTCGTAGCGCATCCTCTCCAACAACCCACCCTGTCCGCCTACCTACCTACCTACCTACCTACCTACCTACCTACCCACACCTACACTACCTGGCAGTGTGTGTGTGTGTGTGTGTGTGTGTGTGTGTGTGTGTGTGTATTGTGTGCGCGCGCCGGTGTTGTTGTGTGTGTCGCTCGCTAGGCCAGAGAGATTCTGCCGTGGAACCCGCGCCCCGTCGTGCGCTCCTTCCCACGCTTACCCATTCGTCGTGGGCAGCTCCCGCCCTTCTGCCAACTGCAACCGACGCCCGACCAATTCGCAGTCGTCCCTGTCCTCCCTCCACCGTCCCACTCCCCTCGCCGCCGCTCTCTCTCTCTCTCTCTTGATGACCGCTCTCAAGTCGCCTCTGTGATTCCTTTTTTTTTTCCCTCCCTCCTCCTGCCGGCACTCCCCCTCACGCTCGTTTCCGCTTGTCCTCGTTCGTAATCCGTAATTCACTGTTGTGTCGTGTTGTCGTTGCCGGGCAATCGCATTCTCAGCGCGGCCCTCGTCGCCAACTTTTTTGGCCCGACCCTCAACATCAGTTGCCCGCCGCAAGCCTGTCACCTACCTAACCCACCCACACCCTTTACACATACACACACCCATATACACACTCTGAGACACACAGACATACACACACCTCCCAACATACACCACAAACCTAGGCCGTCCTCGTCATGGCCCCGGCCGTTCCCAGACTGCGAATCCTGTCAGGTGCGTCATCCCTCTCGGTGAGGTGTCGCACAGCACTCGACACCACGCCTTTTCTCTGAACCCACGCCAGCCAATGGCATAGCACTACTCCCTAGCAATCCGTGCCCTTTCCCTTACATTCGACGAGCATGCTCACGTCATCAAATGCGAGACCACCAAAATGCTGACTCGTTTTGTTGTACAGTGGGCGGTAATGCCGTCTCCGCCTTCTTATCGTGGCGTCTCCAGGCTACCAACGCTTGCGACGTCACCCTCGTGTGGAAGTCTGGTTTCGACAGCGTAGCCCAATACGGCATCACATTCAAGTAAGGCTGTCCCCGTGACCTATCTTCCAACCTACCGCTAACAGCATGCCCCCAGATCCGCTCTCTATGGCAATGAGCGATTCAAGCCATATGCCGGTATGTCCACCACCACGCATCCCTCAATCCATCATCAGCACTGACAGACATGGTCCCACAGTCGTTAGAACGCCAGAGGATGCCGCCCATTCTTCCAAACAGCCTTTCGATTACGTCCTCCTTTGCGTAAAGGCCCTGCCCGATGTATATGATATCGCCAACATCATCGAATCTGTCGTTTCCCCACAGCACACCTGCATCCTTATGAACACCACACACAGCCTCGGCGTAGAATCCTATTTGGAACAACGCTTCCCCACCAACGTGGTACTCTCGTTGGTATCAGGAGCAGAAATTTCACAACTTGGCGCTAGTGAATTCGAACACAAGGGCGCAACCGATATCTGGGTCGGCCCTGCCAACAAGAACGCTGCTATTCCGGCTCAGATTCAGTCGGACATGGCCGAAGCTCTGGCTATGACACTAAGCTCGGGACAGGTCGACTGCAAGGTATCGCCTAACATTCGACAACAGCAGTATGAGCGAATGATAGGGTAAGGCGATGCATGCATACTCTGTACTTGCCACTCGATACTGACCATGATAGGCCAATCGCCTTCCATCCTGCCAGCATCATATTCGAAACAGCCAACCACGCCGAGCTGATGGAGAAGGTGGGTGTGCGTGCGCTCATCACGGGAGTGCTCGATGAGATGATTGCACTCGCCCAAGCGCAAGAGTGCTCCTTTCCGGACAACTTTCGTGAAAAGACGATTCAAGAAATGACACAACCGCAAGAGAACAATAGCACCATGTGGCTGGACTACGAGGCGAGGCGGCCAATGGAGATTGAAACCTATCTCGGAGCCCCGCTGAAGCTTGCCAAAGAAGCTGGCGTTACCGTGCCGCGCATCGAGACCCTCTACGCTACTCTCCACCACCTCAACACCGTCAATCGAAACCGGCCAGCTGCAGCACCCGGCCCTGCTCCCCAGAACGGAGTGCAAGGGCCTCCTCCACCAAGAATGTCGTCTGCTCCGTTGCCGCGAGGACCTCCAGGCGGTCCTGGACCAGGAATGAATGGCAACGGTCCTATGAAGGGTGGTCCCCGCCCCGGAAGTCGAGCCCCTTCCATTAATGGCGTTCCTCCGATGATGCGTCGAGGGCCTCCTCCCGGTCCCAATGGCTACCCACCAAGGATGAATGGTGCGGCAAACGGTCAGCGCCGCAACTCACTCGAGGATGCCAACCTCGAGGAATTCTCACACTTGATGCTGTACGACGACATGGTCAACGAAGGCGCTCCCGGTGGAGTAGGTGGGGGACCGTACGAAAGTGCTGGCAACTCGTCTGCCAACCTTTCACTCCGTGAACGAGAGCTCATGCTCAGGCAAAGAGAGCTACAGATCCGAGAACAGGAGATGAATATGCGCCGCGGACCTGCACCTAGGGGACCACCGGGTCGCGGTCGTCCCCCGCCTCCAGCCTCTGTCGCCGGTTATGATGATGAGGACGACGAGGACGATTACTTTGATCCCATGGGAGGCCGTGGCGCAGGACAGATGATTGACCCGGACAACTTTGACATGATGAGCGTCACTTCGCGACGCAACAAGTCAGCTCCCAGTGCCAAGCAATTCCGCCAGAATCCAGAGAATGGCTTCAATCCTAGCCAGAATGGACGATCAAGAAATCTCTTTTCGCGTCCTGGTATGAATAAGAACCGAACTAGTGCTCGGATGATGGCAGATGTGCCAGGCCTACATGATTCCATCATGAACAATCCTCTGATGGGCTACTCCTCCAACCGTTACGGAGACGTCGACCGTGGAGCCATGGGTGCGCAGTCTAGGACCAACTCACTGACCGCATCGCGTTTAGATGAGCTTGCGGGTGGTGGTGGCGCCAGCTACGGTGCTTACCCGACTCCTGTTCGACGGGCAAGCCAGTCTCCTGGCAACCCGCTCAGTCCTCGTCCCACGGGCCGTCGACCATCGCCACCAAACGGATACGCGCCCAATGGCGGGCCCCCAAACGGAATGCCACCTAATGGACGACCATCGCCCCCGGGCATGAGACAGCCTGTTCCACGCCACCCCCCTGGTATGGGCAACGCAGTGGCGCCACAACAGGTTGAACAACACGCAGGGGTGAGCAACCTTTACCCACCCAAGTCTCGTCCTGTTGTTCGCAGTCTGACAGGTAGTGCCAGCGGCAGTGGCAGTAGTGGTGCCAGCGCTCAGATAGATTCGGAAAACTCTGCGCACAGTAGCCAGAGTAGCCTGGGACCACGTCCTCCGGTCGGCGTTCGGTAATGGATGGTATTTGTCCGACTTGAGATTTGCGGCCACGGGGTTTGGAGTATTTCGGCATCTTGCAGGGAGACCGTCTTTCGACTCGGCGATATTTTGACGAACCATTTACTCTTCCATCAAGCAACACGCTTTTATCTTGGTGTTGATTCGATGGTGGCTAGGATACCTTTGAGAGAACCCAACTCGACCTTTTCTTCAGCAAAAACACGCACACGTACCGCTTCATCATCCCCGGCCTCTGCACACGATCAAGTCGGGATGGCTTTATGACTACGGGGGCCTTGTTATTTTATTTTTTGAAAGGTGCCGGACAGAGAAATAATGATGGATTTCAGAGCTTGAAACTTGTTGCTGTTGAGAGGGAGGAGACTTTTTTTTGCACGCATACACTCACACTCACACTCTTGCACACGGATTCTGAGGTGGAGTCCTTTGTTACTTTACAAGTTATTTCCTTTGTTCTTATACCGTACATATTGTAGACGTTTTTTGTTGTTGTTGTTGCTGCGGCGCACTTTCTCTCCATCTTGTCGTTTTTTCTTTTGGTAATCGGGCTAAGCAAACCTTCTGATCATGGATGTGATTGCATGGGGATTTCAAGTAGAGGGATTTTAGCTGGTTTCGACACACAAGCACACACTCACACGCACGCACACTTGAGGAAAGGGAGAGGGGAGTGCAGAGGCAGAGGCAGATCGGGGTGGACGTGGAAGGGAAGTGGAAGGGGAAAGGGTGGGGTTTTTGTGGATAGATAGATTTGCAGAATACAGACTCCTCTCTTGGGGGTTTACAATCATTCAACCTCATTGTGGCGGTGTGTGTGTGGTGTTTTGTTTGTTTCGTGGTGGTGTGACTTGTGATGTATATCTCTCTCTCTCTCTCTCTCTCTCTCTCTCTCTCTCTGTGTGTGTGTGTGTGTGTGAGTTGTATGTAGGTAAGGTATGGATCCCATGTACCCACAACTCACGACCGAGCTGGCAGTGGTTACAAGTCGGCCCGCTCGCTCGATTTCACGGACGGTGTAGGTAGGTAGGTAGGTAGGTAGGGGGTGGTAGGGGGTAGGCTAACGGCTGTGTTGTTTAGGTATGGCTTGGAGATGGAGGAGAAGCTTCAGAATGGGGTTGGACCGAGGGAATTTGTTGTTTTACGGGACTGTAACGGTAGATGCGGTAATCGAGCTAAGCACCACGTTGACCCTTTTCTCTCCAGATCCATACATGCACACATGGCTACGAGTACTCTACCACACCGGCCGGTACTTCTTCTTCGCCTATAGTAGCCGAGTGCGCGTCTGGTGTTCCATGCTCATGCTTCACCAACCAACCCAACCGCGCTTCCCCGTGCTTGCCAGCGTTCTGGTGCTGCTGCTAGCCTTGGCCGTTGTTCCGCTTCTTGGCTTCTTCTTCCCATCACCCCTCCTCCGCCTGCCCACCACTGGTACTTCCAGCCTCTTCCGCTTCCTCACCCGCGACTACGCTTCTTCGGCTGGCATTACGCTGCGCAACCCCATTGTCTTCCAGCACCACCAGCACCAGCACCAGCACCAGCACCAGCACCAGCAGACGCCTGCCATCTGTCCCAAGCCGCCGCCCATACTCCCCCCCGTCGAATTCGTCGGTACCTTCCACACCACACCCGAGCGCAGCATGGCTCTCGCCGACCAGGCCAAGCGCGTAGCAGCCGAGTTTGACTTTGACAAGGATGCCGTCAACAAGGCTGTCAGCGAGTTTATACGGGAGATGGGTACGTGGGGGGTCGCAGCAAATGCGGAGTGATAGGGCATGCTGACTGTGTGCAGACGAGGGACTGCAGGCTGAGGGCACCGAGTTGAGCCAGATCCCCACCTACGTCACTGCCGTACCCAATGGCACTGAAAAGGTAAGGCAGACACTGCAGACTGGGAGAAAAGGGACTGACTAGCACAAGGGCCTCTACATGGCCGTCGACTTGGGTGGCACCAACTTCCGCGTCTGCTCCATCCGACTCAATGGCGACACCACCTTTTCCCTCACACAGAGCAAAGTCGCCATTCCCCGCGAATTGATGGTTGCAAAGACGTCGAAAGAGCTCTTCGCCTTCCTCGCCAAACAAATCGAGGCCTTCCTCCAGCAACACCACGAAGAGCACTATGTGGGCACGTTGAAGAAGCGCGAGACGGGCGAAGAACACGACGAGATCTTTAATCTGGGCTTCACATTCTCCTTTCCTGTCAATCAGATAGGCATCAACAAGGGCATGCTCATGCGCTGGACAAAGGGCTTCGATATCCAGGATGCCGTGGGCAAGGATGTCTGCGCGCTTCTGCAGGCGGAGATTGATGAGCTGCATCTACCGGTCAGGGTGGCTGCCCTGGTCAACGACACGGTCGGAACCCTCATGGCGCGCTCCTACACCTCCCCTGGCAAGACGGGAACACTGCTCGGTGCCATCTTTGGAACCGGCACCAATGGCGCCTACGTGGAGAAACTGGACAAGGTCACCAAGCTCACAAAATCCAACAACGCTGGCGACTACGACCAGTCGACGGGCGAGATGATTGTCAACACCGAGTGGGGCTCGTTTGACAACTCCCTGCGCACCCTCCCCAACACACCCTATGATGTGGAACTGGACGAGAAGTCGGTAAACCCCGGTATCCAAATGTTTGAGAAGCGCGTCTCGGGCATGTTCCTGGGTGAACTCCTCCGGCTTGCCCTCTTGAAACTCATCAATGACCCTCGAGTCCCGCTCTTCAGCGACGACAACTCCTCTTCCAATGACGCACACAGCACCACGCAAATCAGCAAGAACAGCCCCATTTACCAGCAGTGGGGCATCGACACCAGTCTGTTGTCAGTGTGTGCGGGAGACAGCACACCGGGCCTTCGCATGCTCCGTCAGACCTTGGACAAAGAATACGACATCAGCGCCGTCAGCGCAGAAGACGCAGAAGCGGTCCGCGACATTGCGGCCGCGATTGGCCGTCGCGCCGCCCGTCTATCAGCCGTCGCCATTGCGGCCATCATCATCAACACGGGCCGTCTGAGCCCATCCTCTGAAGCGAAAGCCGGCAACGCAGCCGTCAACGAGGACGACATCATCGACGTGGGCGTGGATGGCTCGCTCGTGGAATTCTACCCCAACTTTGAAGAGCACATTCGCCAGGCGTTTCGCGAGATTCCGCAGATTGGGCCCCAGGGCGAGAAGCGGATTCGCATTGGGATTGCAAAGGATGGGTCGGGCGTTGGGGCGGCGTTGATTGCGCTGGTGGCGGGTAAGGTTGGCGCGCCGGATTCGTGATTTGTCGAGGATGGGGTTGGATATGGGATGTATAGGGAAGGACGAGTAGGAAATGTAGCGTGAACATGCATGAGTTTGGCATCAAATACATTATTATATTCTTGTTTCCTTTTTTTGGGGGGTGTTTCTTTGGCGTGAGTTGTGATTATAGATATTCGTCACAACGCCAAGGCTTTGCAATTTCAAGTTGTGCTCTTTTGGATGGATGGAGATTTGATGGTCATGATGAAGATGTGTGTGGTACCTTTTTCCCTCTTCTCTCTTCCTCTTCACATACATGGTCATTCTTGTATTCTTGTATTCATCTGTTCCTCTCCCTTTCTTGTCGTTTGATTATGTACATGTTGTGGCGATGCCTAGTCGTCTGCTTTACTATCCATCTACCCATCTATCCCTCTCCCTCTCCCTCTCTTTTACCGTATTCCCTCTTATACCCTCCTACCCTCCTACTCCTACTCTTCACCCATCAACCACTCAAAACCCAGCCCAAGTACCCAAGTCCCAACATACAAAGCTCCCACCAAACAATCTACCGGCTTTTTATCTACAGCAGGTGTGATGGGTGCTTAGGGGACACGATAAGGTGGTCTTGCGCTGAAAATCCAAAAGTGTGGCTGAGTTCTAGAGGGGAGAAGATGCAGTATTATTAGGAGAAGATGACTGTTAGTAGCAAGAATGTGACATTGGCACACCGGCTGTGGCTTTGGCATAACCTACCAGCAACCCCCCCCCCCCACCAACAAAAAACTAAACGAGAAAGAAGAACTTCCCTCTTGACTCTTGTCCTCCCTCCACATAAACACTACACAAAACTCCCCATCCCACGCAAAAACAACCCTACCCCCCCTCTTTACCTCCAAAAAAAACTAATCTTTCAACAGAAAGAGGACAATTACGCCCGACCAGGGACTCGAACCCTGAGCCTTGAGATTAAAAGTCTCACGCGCTAACCAATTGTGCCAGCCGGGCTGTTTGGGTTCTCGATAGCATTTCCACGTCTTAATTAGTTTATAAAGCTGAAAAACTGGGGGTTCGGAGAGGGAAGCGCTGGTGTTGGGGTTGGTGAGGTTTTGTGGTTGAGTTGGGGCGGGGTGAGGCAGGGACCGCGCGGGTGGTGAGATTTTGGAGGGATTTGGACGGGGTGGTGGCGTCATGGATTTGGACGGAGGAGGGGAATGGGGTTAGTGTGGTTGTTGGATTGACCGATTGACGGGAAGTTTTTCTTTTGTATGCGTGGAATGATTTCTTAGGGGGGGAACAGTATTTATTTTTAGAGGAAGCAAATGATTGTGGAGAGATTACTGGCTTGGAGATGGTGAGGGGGCGGACGATGATGCTAGACAGGCGCGGTCGTGATGTACGGTACGTGCATGCAGCATCGCAGAAATTCGAATATTACATTGGGGGAATTTGATAACCCGAGGGATTAAATATGATTTGGAAGGATACTGAACTATCCTCTAGGTATTACTCAATCATCGACAGCGTTCAGAAACACATCACCTACCACCTACCATCCCACAATCTAGAACGCAACCCTCCCACCTAACCCACTCACACCAAATACCCACCAGACATCAAAATCCTCCTGCTACCAGAAAAACTCCCCCCAAACCCTTGTCTAACCCGTCGCAAATGATCCTTTGCCTTGCCCAAGCCCGTGATCGCCCTACCACGCATCGACGCCTGCCACTTTACATGATCCTCGTGCTGCCAGGTAGAATGCTGCCCAGGAGCGAGCATGTTATCAAAAGTAGTGCTTGCAAGGCGAAGAACTCGGACCGGCTGGCTGGATGAAAGGACCAACGAGGAAGAGAGAAGGATACTCGAACTACGTGGCCGTGGATCACGTAGACTGCTTTGGGGTGAAAAGACCTCTGTGAACCGGCTGGGTCTTGCTGTTTTGGGTACGGGGTTTGATAATGGAGCGATTGTTTGTAGATCTACTGCTCGTGTTGATATTTCGAGCTTAGGCTTGGGTTGAGAAGTGGATGCAAGTACAGAAGTATATCCCACATGCTCCTCCATCCCAGCTCCCTCAAGTGATATTAAATCTAACTTCTCAGCATGCGACTGGAGATACAGGGACGGAGTACCTGCATGCTCATTCCTCTGCTTGCAAGTTTGCTCATGGGCAATCACGTACGTGGTAGGAGTATTGGAGAAAGCGACACGTCGATCCTGACGATGGATATCCGCGTGCTCGGCTGTAGTGAAGAGGTTGTGACGAGCTATTGGGTCCATGGTTGTGGATATGAACACACTTTGTGCGGTGGATAGTTGGGAAGGTTGTGGTACTCTTAGTTTGTTGGATTGAAAGAGGAGTGACTTGGACGTCGAATGGTTATGGTTACAGCTGCTTGCACTGTGTTTCAAGACACCGTAAAATGAGCTGTGAGACCCATAATATGATGAACAAGACATGTGTTTGACTATGAGTTCGCTCCTCAGTGGCAGCTACATTCATATCCAAACAAAACACCCACAACACCATCCACAACCACAGCTGTACTCGCCATTATGCCCCATAATCTTCCCTACACTAACCCCAAACCCCAAACTAAAAAACACACATACTCGCCATATATAAATCTAGCTCTAGATAGACATCACATGCAAACATGCATCCAGGAAGACATTCCAATCCAGCCCCAACATACCCAAACCATCAGCGCCAAAAAACAACCCCAATATTTCCGCAAGTATACCCGTCATGTGGTTTACGGACTCCCGTTGTTGTGCATCTTACAACCACACTCCCCCCCACCAGAAAAAAAATCAGACAAACCCCAATCCAAACCCCAATCCCGCGCCCAAAAAACCACAACCACATCGCCTCCATAAAATCCATCCTCACCATCGCAATTACGCTCACAATCACTATAACATCCCCTTATGCGCTCATAAAAGATATTTTGCCTTGTGTGGGGGAGGGGTGAAGTTTACGAGACCCCATAGAAGGAACAAAGATGAAGATAAAGATTGGGACTTGGGAATTAATAATTAGATGATCAAATGTAAAAAGCAAGATACACTCACCACCAAGCCTTTATAAACAAGCACATGAGCGACAGATTCCACGCAGTGCACTCGCATAATTAAAGGTGCATGTATGCCATTAGAAAACGTCTGGGAACAATGATTCTTTTGACTGATGCTGTCCATGAAAACCAAGATAAGACTATGAAACCGAACAAGGCTGACTGGGACGCTGTGATTGTGACGTTTCCAGGAAAAGAAATGTCATTTAAAACTTCAGATTGCGTTGCAGAGGTACCTACTGCGTGGCTTCGAGTTACGCCAGTGTCATGTGCTCTGGCGAGCCATGGAAGCCATGTAAATGCCTTTTGGTCCTCGCAACCAAAGCAACGAAACGTTGGCCCTCTTGGTCAAATAGGCAGATGCGCAGTCTCAATCATCCTACATCACACACGTAGCTGAAAATCATTGTGATTGGTCATGAAGGTGCCATTGTTTTGTGAAGAATCCTGATAAACCCATGATCGTTACAGGACCGGCGTCCGAATGCTGCTAGAGAGCCATTGTAATCGGATAATGGCTGCCGATGCCGAGAAACACGCTCGAAAACTCCTCCTTTCCCAGTGCCCAATGTTCCCTTTAAACCTCTGCAATCTCGCGGAGACGACGGATCGTTGACCTTGTGGCGGCGGCAGCGGGGGTTCTAGAGAAGTGATCAGTACTGTGAATTCCCTCTTCTTTGTCCCATCTCCAATCCTCGAGTGGGAAATGAGGGTGCGACAGCGGGGAAAAAGCTTACGAGACCGTGTAGGCTCCTCCAGCAGTCGTCTTTCGGCAGGATCGGCAGTTCCAGATACCGACAGCAGTGCGCTTGACGGAGTTCTTTCCACAGAACTGGCACACGTAGCGGGCGTGTTGTGTGATCTGTTTGGGGTATGTGAGCGACGCGCTCTCTTAGGCAGGGGAATATAGACAGATTCGTCGGGACATGCGCACCTCCATCTTCTTGACCTGCTTACGGAGCGAGGCACCGTAACGGGTACCGTACTTTCCGGTGATTCCGACCTTCTTTGTGCCTACACATCGCTATCAATAAATTGTCACGGGTTCGGGAGGGAATGGCAGGCCGTACGCTTGGTCATTTTGGCGGTTGTGTTGAGGGACGGAGGTGATGGAGTATCGAAGTTGTCGAATACATTTTCCTCAGCAATGCGTGGGCTCCAAAGTCCTAAGCGAGAAATAATGTCTTGGCGAGCTAGTCTTGTTCGAGACGCGCACCCTTGCGACGCCAGCCCCACACCCTCACCAAACATCACTTATGACTACGTGCTCCCTTCACAGTAACTTCAACACGTGCACTTGACACTTGGGCGTCTCGGTTTGCTGTCTAGCATCAAGGATACATGCCATTCAGACTTTAGGGCTACACTTCGTACCCAGCTCTTATCATGAAGCATCATCCCACAACATTGCTCCAAACCAGCACTTCCCTCTTCAAACCACAAACACTGGACTATAAGTAAGAGAGACAGCTCTAAACTACTCATCAAGTACATCCCCCCCAAAGTAACCCATCACAAATACTACAAAATCTCCACTCCCATCCCAACCCCATCGTCCTCACCAAACTCCACCACCCACACCCCTCACCTCCCTTCCCCAACACTCCATCTCCACCCATACCATTACACACCCAAGCCCCTCGCCTACACCATCTCTCCGCCCAACTCCCCAAGTACCCAACACGAAACAACATCTACACAACCCCCCCACCTTGGCAAACCCACCTCCAAACCCAGTATCCCAAGGCCACCTCAGCCCCAATCCCGCCACCCGCCCGGCACCCTCTCTTCCGAAACCGCGCCTGAAACTCGAAACCCGCAGAGCCCGCTGTGCCCCAAACTGCACGCACCCCACTGCTCGCAAATACGCGAGCGTCGTGGCACTCTCCTCTTGCGCTTGTCGTCTGAAGGCGCAACGGATGAGCGTCTTGTGGCTCTATTTTTGAGTGATGGGGGCTGTGATGTGAGGGGCTTGGGAGACGGCATGGGGGGCGATGAGGATGCGAGGGTAGGCGAGATTTTAGGATTTTATTTCTTGTATAAAGGCCTTGGGAAGTCAAGCGAATTGAGAGATGCAGTAACTTGAACTTAAAAGTTAGTATCTTTTGGTTTCCCAACTTTGTTTTTAGGGAATTTGCAGGCTGGATTTCGTTGCGAAAAGAATCACACTTTCTATACATTACTGTTTAATCATAGACATACACCCTATCTACCGCCATTTCTTCTCCAAACATGGTACACGTTCGAGCTGTAGTGGCCGCTCTCTCCTCCCTCGCCATTGCAACCGCCCAACGGACCCCCAAGATAGTTCCAACAGACCTCCAATCTGGCTTTGAATCCAACACCCAGATCCAAGTCTCCTATACCGACAACGCCGTAAACGGCTTCCTTGACGGCACACTCTTTGAAAAAGATGGTAAGCCTCCTTGGCCCCCAAGTCATTCCCTCTCGGTCTTCCCACCAAACCGCAACGCAACCTCAACTAACGCAAGCCACCACAGCCGTATCCGAAGAACCCACCTTCGCCCTCGGTGACAGCAGCGGCATATCCCCCACAACCCTCTATACCATCCTGATGCTCGACACAACCTGTCCACAAACGCGAACCCTGCACTACGCCCGTACAAACTTCAAAAACAACTTCAAAATTACAAACATCAACAGCTCCTCTCCGCCCCTACTCGCCTACCAGCCACCGGGTGCCTTTGGCGAAACAGGCGACAACAGGCAGTATTCCTTTCTCATGTATACGAACCCCGGCCGGAGGGAGATCGAGACGTTGGTGTTGCCTGGGGAAGGCGAGCCGTTCAATGTGAGGCGGTTTCAGGAAGAGAACGGGCTCGAGGATGCGAGTGCCGGGGTGGGCATGGTCGTAAAGCTGGGCGGACAGGCGAGTTGTGGGGAGGGACAGGCGCCAAATACGCTGCCTGCTTCTTTGGCGGCGCCTAGGCCAGGGCCGTCGAGCACGCTGGCGGGAGCGGGTACGGGTGTTGGGGGGAGTAGTGCGGTCGAGACGGGGTCGTCGAGCGGGCCGAGTACGTTGCCGCCTGGTGATGCGACGACGCCAACGCCGTCGAGAAATGCTACAAGTGCGGTGCAGTCTGATGCTGGTGGTCCCTCGGCCATCATGTCCACGGCTGATCTGGCGAATGTAAACCCTGGTGCGACGGGATCTCCTACCTCGAGTGCTGGGTTGGCCGAGCAGACGGCGAATGCTGGCCCGAGGATACTTGCTCAGAGCACCTGGGTACTGGTTCCCCTCCTGGTTCTGGTGTTGTGATAATCGTAATGTACAGTATGGTGTGCGATGTGGGAGTGAAAGGTATTGCCGGTGGTTTGCAGGCTACCCCAGAGTTTTACAGGAAGAAGAACGGGTGACGGTCTGAATCCATATGAAGATATCCTGGAAGTGATATTACGATCGGAATTGACTTGCGCTTCGTACTGTAGCCGTCTTGTTTCATGTTGCGTGGATTGATCTACATCCCTTGAACGACTTGTCGCAATCAAGCCTTTACCATCATCTGACCTCTAAAGTCAATTCGCAAACTAACAGGCTTTCATGGATCATTTCAGCCCAAATAGCGCAGGATTGTCAGTCATATAGGCCGAATCAGAAACATGATGACAAGCACGATTTTATCTCCAGCTCTTTCTTTGTTTCCTTTTTTTGACATCATTAAAAGACCCTGCGACCGAGGTATGACAGTATCAGCATTCGTGAGGCACCGAAAAAGCAATACCGCGCAAGTTCAATGACAGTGCGCAGAGAGCATAGCCCTGATTTTCTGGTTTCGAAACCCGAATCAAGATGAGGAGATCAAAGAAGCTCTTGTCGAAGTTCCGCTCGCCCTGAGAGGGTTTTCTTTTCGGCGGGATAGGGGTTACATAACTCGGGAGAGGAGTTGCTGTGAAGCTTTCAAGCTTGGAGGGGAAGGAGAACGGTCATGCTGTAGGTGTGGAAAATTGTTCTTCCAATAAAGAAGTTGGGAGCGATCGATGGTGTCTGTCATGGATATGCCCGATAGTATAGCGACGGAAGTTAACGCCTTGACAGCCGTGTCTTGGTGTAATGCTGTGTACTTGTTATCCCATTTGCTGCAAAGCTTTCTGGGTGCCATCTAGAGTCACATCTTCTGCCGTTCGCTTGTCGGTATTGAAGCCTGCCGATAGCACTGGCGTTATGAGGGATGGAGAGCGTGGTTTCATGTCAAGGTGAAAAGAAGCTTGACATGGTACGAGTAAATTCTTCATCGTCTGTACCCTTCTCGGAGTACTCCCCATTCGGTGTCGAAATACCTGCCAAACCCCCTAATCTCGCATATACGGTCATAGCACTTTTGACACAATTGGTGTCGGCGAGTCGCTCTCTCGCAACGCCCGTGTCTTCTTGCGTCTTTCTCCCAGCATGGATCCGGATTGCCTCCTGCGTCCAGTGGACCCACTCGCCAGTTGACATCGGTTGGTCGCCGTAAGCGCGGGTCCTCAAAGACGCACGGAAATCCAAGTCGGTCGCCTTCAAAGTCTGCGAGCCATGCGCAGCCTTGTTCTTGAGCCTTCTCATAGCACCGTGCACAAAGCTGACCGCGGTGCCGTACAGTCCCGCACAGTCGATTATCCATGGGATTGAACTCCCGGCGCCAAGGTTGGAAGCGATATAGGGGGTCTTTACAGGCGCACAAATACGTCCATCCTCTGGCCATGCGCTCGTAGTTGTCTCTCTCGAGCTGGTGCATGTATGCGTCGATGACACGTTTGAGTTGGCGAGTATCCGGCTGAGTTTCAGCCAGACGGTACAAAGCGTCAAAGCTCATGTTTTTACACCATGAACACAGGTCTGGTCCTTTCTGTTGACCTTCTAAGCAAGAAGTACAGGAACTCCCAAAGGCGCAGTGGGGTCTCGGAGGGGGTGGTAGCATTCTTTGCACACTGAAGTGGCGTTAGATAGGCCATCGCCCGCGTAGATTCACTGCGTGTACACATACCTTGTCATAGATTGCGTTGTAACCTGGCTTTGAATGATTTTTACGTTGGGGGCTCCGGCATCATCCGCTCTTCCGTCACTGCCCTCCTCCAGACCTGCGACTTTCAGGACCTGGACTGCTTCTTCATGGCAAAGCCTAAACTGCGTAAGAGACTATATTTTGGCACTCTTTGCCCTTGTGTCTTGACTATGGCTGAGAGCCAACACACTGAGAGCTCTTTACCTAGGAACAAAATATCTCACAGCCGCAGAGGCCGTAGCCGTAGCAAGTTATCACTACCGGTAGTTGTGATTATTGTGACCCTCGCGGGTATAGTGGTGGCGACCTTGGATTTGAATCTTCGATTTCTAGTCTTCCACAATCGGGTTCAGGTCTGCAGCTGTCAAGCTGGCGATGTTTCATGTGTTGTAATGTGTGAGCGTGAAGGGTTGTGTTGAGTAGATGTGGACAGTCGAGTGAAATAAAGTTTGTCCGCAGTGTGCGTCTGGTTGACATCCACAAGGAAGTACCTGGAGAAACACACCAAAGTCGAAGGCGAATGAGAAGGTGAGTCGGAGTCGGAGGAGACCAATATTACTCTGTAGGTACCGCCGAGGAATCTGACAAGTTGAACTCCGCTGTTCTCCGTCGCCTTTCACTATTTTGCGTTTAGCTCAACGTCCATGCATCGTAGCTTATGTGGCAGGGTATAGTGGTACGAGCGCCTGTGACGTCGGACCCCGTGCTATCTTATTTATGATCAAACATTTTCAAAAAAAAATCTGATCATGATGTATGTATGTATTGTGAGTTCGTGAAGAACTTTTGGCCTGTGTAGAGGGTGTGCAGTGATGTATGATTCAAGACTCAAGAGCAGTCATCCACCGCAATCTGGACGGAATACCGGTAATACCTGACGTTCAATATCAGGCCAAACCGAACGCGCCCAGACAGAGTCCAGTTGCGCTCACATGGTACCTAGAAGCTTTACAGTGGCGCACACATGTCCGATCACTCGGCTTGCCAGACATTGCAGTGATTTGGAGACCTAGCCTTGCCTGCTTAGCCAACCTCACTGTGGCCAAGTTTGTACTCATCATTGGGTGCAGTCGGTAATAAGGATTCTCTCATGGTCGTCATGTGGTGATGCGTTCCGAGAAGCTCTGATCGCTCTGAGGCGAGCTGGCGAATCACGACCGTTAGGCCCGACAGACTGGCAGAGTCAATGTCGAATCCAAAATGTTGGTTGGCTTGATCTTATGCAGCTGAACGAGCATGGCAAATTACTCGTCGCCACTAAGGGTTGCGAGATTGTATGAGCTCTCGCGGTCAAGTGGCCATGTCCGAGTTGGTAAGTCGCTACTGACTTGGAAGCGTCAAACCGCCGACACCTGAAACTCGTTTCGAATCATTAACCCAGCTACAGTGAAATCCGTTTTATTTTAGATCAGCACGGTCTTCACATCGTATGTTGAGCTTCTCGATGGGTAGGTATTGGAGACCAAGCGCATGGCTGGTTCCGAAGCAACCGCCTTGCCATGCTGTGGTAACGTTACCGTACTGGCCTGCATCAGGCAAAAGCGAGAGTAGTACGTCGCCAAGGTATCCCCGACATTGGGGTGCAGGCTCGCACAATAGAAAAAAGTACCGAACATTCCGTTCCTGGCTGATGGTGATCGCTGTTCAACCTATGTCATTGCTACGACAGCGGGCAATGGCCCACCAAGAGACGAGTACTCATCGCCTGGTGCAGCTCAGTAGCATCTCGTATGTGACACACAGGATCAATGTACCAGGAATTGGGACTCTCAAAAATTTCGTGTGCTTCAAGATGCTAGGATGACAAGGCGCAACAAGAAGATCAATCATCTGATGATGTCCGAAGCTCATTCATCGTCCCCGACGACTATGGTTATTGGTGATTCTGTGGAGCTCGGTGCGTCAGGTGATGTGTTGAGCGTGGGTGGTCAAATGTGTGAGCTGCTGCTGCAGCGTTGAAGGTCGAATTCTGGTTGCCCAATCAGCATCACTTGCCACGAAGAGGATAGTCCGAGGCTTGCACCGCATACGTGGTGCTACCCTTTCCCTCAGGTCGTGAAGTTTGAAATTCACAGTCGAAACAAATGATGGGCCATCTGTCTGGGATGTTCGCAGTGAACTGTGACTGTGACGGCATTAACTGGTCCGGACGAAGATTTGCAGTCTGATTACATGTGCCCGAAGACCAAAGACGCCAAGTTGGCAACGTCGAAAACTCGAAAACGGAGCATCGGAGCATGGAAGCGTATAGTACGAACAGAACCCCTGCAGCCAGTGCAAGGCCAGGCCGGGCCCCATGACAGTTCCTGTGTAAGCAGTGGGTAAGGCTGCGAGACGTTGACTCTTCTTCTACTATACAAGTATGATCCATCGAAACCCTGAGACTCGAATTGGCCGTGGACTGGCGTATGCACAGCATTTCACTTGTACGAGACAAAACACAAGACCGGGGGGAGGGCAGTCCTGGGGTGCGCAGCATATCGACGGATGATGCATCGGACTAACTTTGCCCTTCGATTCTGGGGCGTCTGCGTCTGTGCTTGATGGTCTGCAGAAGACACGGCTGATGTCGATCGCGGGATATTGCTGGTTGTAGATCACTGCGCAACCTTTTTCTGGACTCTTTCTAGCTCTGACGACTACCGGTACATTACCACCGACTTGTGCACAGAACATACTGTGCGGTGTGAGCCATGCGTGCTCGCTTGAGATCGATATGGGCACACTCCATCATAGCGCATGGCGGGTCCACGCATACAGTACCCATATGCTGTGCCTACCTTTGCTGTACCTACCTACGGTAAGTACTGTACGCATCTGTGCACCTTGGACAGTTGTATTGTAGTTTGACTGTCGAACGGGAACGGCCCGTATGTAACTTTGTGCCGTGGGAGACTGAAGCCTGCGCGTATATGGCGTGCATGGCGCTGGTACCCAAGGAGGATGCAACAGGGCAGCCTTGTGTTTTGGCCATTTTGATTTCTTTGAGGACAAAGTCAAGCCGAGAACAGAGGAAGGGGACGATGGGTAGCGGCGGTCGCAGCAGCAGTAGCTAGAGTGGGTGGGCGATCCAGGGGCTCAAGGTTCCATCCTTAACCTGTTGGAAACTAGTCTGTCTTTAGTCAGAGCATAGGTGTCGACAGCAACCTATATGTGCTACAAGAAGCGGCTTATGAAAGAACATTGTCTGCACTCCTCCCTATCCCATCTCCTGCAATCTTACGCTGTTGCTGTCATTGCCGTCGGGTACAGTGCTGTGGCATCTCAATCTCCACTCAACTGGCAGTACCAACGAGATATACCATACAGGACCTGCATCATCCCCCCGTCAATATTGCAGAGCGCTGAGGATGGTGGGTTCGGGATCGAAATCGAAATCGAACTCCTCGAGAGATAGGTCAGACATACCGGGCAAGGAGATTTGGAGTGGCGCAATGGGCTTATGTCGCTACTGGGCTGTGTCGCTTTCGACTGACCATCAGCAATCTGGCCGGAACATGCTTCTACCCGCAACTTCATCACCGGCTCAAAGGGAAGCGGTCTAGGCTCATAGTGCACGATATGAAAACACATGCCGCCACTCCCATACCTACTTCATGTGCTTGCGAAGACAATTGGCCGGACAATCGGACATCATGATCCTGTGGCGCCAATGGAAGACATGTCGTACATACGACAAACCAACCTAGATCGTCTCAATGTACCGTCTGACCTCCCAGTCCGTAACAGCCTCGTCCCAAAGCCTGATCTCGTGTTGTCTTGTTCCACCGAAGTGGTCGACAAACTCGTCTCCAAACACTTCTCGCGCAACGCTTTCTTTCCTCATAAAGCGGTCCGTGGCCTCTTTCAGGCTCTTGGCTAGCCGCTCGCCCTTGTCCGTGTTCCCACCTACATCCTCGCCTTTACCGAGTGGTGGTATGCCAATCTCAAGCTTCTTCTCTATGCCCCGCCAGCCCAAGGCTAGAATGGCGGCGAGGACGTAGTGTGGGCTGGTGTCGGCGCCAGGCACACGCACTTCAAACCGCGTTGCTTTTGCAGAGGCGGTAGGAGGAGCGATGAGGCGGATAGAAGCGGCGCGGTGCTCGAGACCCCAGGATACGGTGACAGGCGCCCAAAAGTTCTCGACTAATCGTTTGTAGCTATTCACGTTGGGCGCAAGGATAGGCATAATGTCTGGTAATCCGTCAATCAGGCCAGCAAGGAAATATCGCCCCAAGTCGGATAGGTATCGAATGTCTGAGTAGGGAGCATCCTTGTCCTCTTCTGCGCGAGCAAAAAGGTTTTTGCCGTCCTTGTCGACGATCGAAACGTGCATGTGCCCACTATTTCCAGGTAGACCCTCGCGCGGTTTCGCCATGAAGCATGGTGTTATGCCGAACTTGGACCCCAATGATTTTACCACCAGCTTAAAGAGAGAGGCCTTGTCTGCCATCCTTTCGATTTCGTCGAATTCGAGGGCCTGTCCATTTTCAGTACAATGTTTGTGTGCATATTCGGAATACGTCTTACCGCTTCATAAACACCAGGCCCCGACTCTGTATGCCAGCCTTCGATTCCGCAATTGAATCGGGCGCACGTGTTGAAGATGCCATAGTAGTATTCCTGGTTGTGGACTGGTCGCGTGATGCTGTATCCGAACATGCCTTCTGTGAGACTCGGCAGTGAATTGACGGGATTGTCGCGCAAGAATGCTGCCGTGCTCGAGCTGTTCCTCTCTGTCCCGTCATGTGTTTGCGGCGCGCGAAACTGGTAGAATTCGTACTCGGCTAGATGACAGACAGTCAGCGTTGTGCGCAATCCCAGCTTCACTTTGGCGGTGCGACCTACCCCCAGCCATTGCGCCATAACCACTGTGCCTCAGCTTATCGACTGCACGCATCAACAGACTTCTTGGGCACACACTGAGGCTCGCTTTGGTGTCAGGGTCGTAGAACTTGATGAGGAAGAAGGGCACGTTCTCTTCCCACGGGATCCTTCGAAACGACTGCAGATCTGGTATGGCAATGAGATCGCGGTATCCATTCTCCTTGTTTGAGACGCCAAGTTCGCGAAAGTAGAGCTGGTCGTGCATGTCCCAGCCAAATATCACACTACAGAAGCCAAAGCCCTCCTTCACTATGCTGAGGAACTTCTTCTTCGCCATGAGCTTGCCGCGCAGCATGCCATCGACATCAATGCCTGCCACTTTCACTGCCAAGTCCTCCTTGAGAAGCTCTGGTAGCTGTTCCGCCGTTATGTTGGCGGGGGATCCAGATGCCATGATGGGTGAAAGATCTGGGCTGTCAAGCCAAGAGAGGGAGGATGCTTGGAGTTGTGTTAGGGATAGAGGCTAGTCTAAGCTTGAGGGGTTGGCGATGTGAAAGGCTTTGGGCTTGGAGGGAAAGCTAGAGGGAGTCGAGAGAGAAAGGGAGAGAGAGAGAGAGAGAGAGAGAGAGAGAGAGAGAGAGAGAGAGAGAGAGAGAGAGAGAGAGAGAGAGAGAGAGAATGAATGAGAGGGAGTAGACAGTGGATAGCAAGAGCAATCCAAGATTCGCGCCTGCAGCGTGTGGCTTGGAGGAGAGCTCCAGGCGGTTGCCAAGTTGAGATGAGATAGGGCCGGGGCCAATGAGGGGTAAGTAGCCCGCAGCCCAGAGCCTGTTGTGATTACATACTCACTACCTACAGTGTGTAGTGTGTACCTACCACAGGCTACCTAGAGTACCACAGGCTTACCTATCTACCTATATATAACCGTCTGCCGCTCATGCCTCGATCTGTCAATCCAACAACACCCGGCTTCCTGTGCGACAAGAAAATGCCTACCTACTCCAAACGCGACAACTGTGTGATTTGATGCTCCGCAAAACTTCACCATATCAGTACGGTGGCAGCAGCACTTACGTCATCGATGGCGGGGTAAAGCAGCAAAACAACCCATCGCCGACACCCTTTTGCAGGCGTCTATCGGCGTCTACAGGCGTCTCTGGGCTGCAGGCTGCAAACACCAGACATGTACCTAGAAGCGAGCCCAGTGACTACCTATCGTGAACCTGTCCACCTGTCCACCTGTCCACCTGTCCACCGCCCTTTGCAAACCGTATCCAACATGGATCGCCGCCAACACGATTCTTATCATGGCATACTGGTACCTATCAAAGCGATAGGTCCGATACCGGGCGCGACCTGTGTCTACCTACGCCGGATCTATCCGTCCAACTGCGCCGTATGACTTCGATCGCGCCCTCGACTTCGACCAAATTCTCTCTCTCTGTCTAGCTCCTTGCTAACAACATTGTTACACTCCCCGATATCTGGAAACTAGGTACGTGTACATGTTGCCGTCTTGCCCATGCCCGCCAGCCATTGGTAAACCTTCCCTATTCACAGCGACCCAGGGAGAGGACCCTTGGCCCCATGACGCATATTAGTCATACTTCCGAGAACGATACAAAACTTCGCCCCATGCTCTTCCCTACACCGTATTGATATTGACCGTTCTGCAGACTTCCACTGCACTTGCACATATCTCAATCTCTTCTCTGATTGTTTCCGAGAACGCGCACATTCAACATGGGTCGTCTTGAAGGAAAGAACTGCATCATCACGGGTGGCGCTGGGTAAGCCCAAATTCTACCAAATCACCCCAGTTCTGTCTGCGCTGCCTGCATTGGCTTTGACCACGTCTCCTTCTTTCTGCCAGTTTTGAAAAGGATGGCAAGTATGCGGATTCTTGTGCAAGCTGGTGGAAGCGAAATGTAACGCCTCTGTCACGCACGAGATCACAGTCGTGCGCTGAACAGACAGTAGCAAAAAAATCACGGGATCCTCTGTCGAGTCCAATCTACGCATGGAATCAAGCACTAACCAAACAACAGTGGGATTGGTCTCGAGACTGCCATTTTGTTTCGCCGTGAAGGTGCCAATGTCCTACTCTCTGATATCTCAGGCCCGGCTCTGGAAAAGGCTCTAGCCAAGCTAAAGGAGATTGTTCCAGAGGGGAAGAAGGCTGAAACAAAGATAACCGATGTTTCCAAAGAAGCAGACGTCCAAGCCATGATTGAGCATGTTGATTCTTGGGGTGGTGTTGACGTCCTCTTCAACAACGCGGGAATAATGCACGCAAACGATGACGATGCAGTCAACACTCCCGAGAAGATTTGGGATTTGACCCAAGCCATCAACGTCAAGGGTGTTTGGTTCGGATCCAAGCACGCAGTCATCAGCTTCAGGAAACACAACAAGAAGAAGACGAGCGTCATCAACACAGCCAGTGTTGTGGCACTGGTAGGCAGTGCTACGCCACAATTGGCCTACACAGCTAGCAAGGGTGCCGTTCTGGCGATGACGAGGGAGTTGGCTATGGTTCATGCACGTGAGGGCTTCAGGTTCAATGCCCTTTGCCCAGCACCGTTGAAGTAAGTTAGCATCGACTGTAAAACAATTTCATTACTGACAATTGACAGCACACCTCTACTCCAGGACTGGCTCGGTGACGATGCAGCAAAAAGACACCGTCGTGAAGTCCACTTCCCCACTGGTCGATTTGGTGAGGCCATCGAGCAAGCCCAGGGTGTATTGTTCTTGGCCAGCGATGAGAGCAGCTTCGTCAACGGTACCGACTTTGTCATTGATGGTGGTATGACGAGGTGCTACACCACACCTGAAGGACCACCAACCGAGCCTCCTCAGAACAATGCACCCTCGACCCGACACTATTAGAAGTGGCCGAGGGTCTTCAAGTTAACTCCGCATGGGAGGGTCTGCGGTGTCCAGCATTCGAATAGACAGGCTACTACATGGCCATATAAAGAACGTGTACTACCACTTTCTTCGCTGCGTTTATTGTGCACGGCCACGCAGATTCCCATTACTGAATGCCATGGTGTGCCAGAACTCCTTCTGAGTGGCTCCGGGTGTCTTTCCCCCTCTTTCAACACTTGCACGCAAACCTACCCAAAGCAGTAATTCTACTATGGCAGTCCGCATATTCTCCCATTTGTTCGGCCAGTTTCTCTGTCTACTGATTCGCTCCAGTGGCCGTCTTCCGCGCTGCTAGACCGATAATTTGAATTGGCTGATTCACATGATCTCGTGTTGTCGTACTAGGCCTCAATCGGGCCGGCGTGGCAGTCGTCGTTTCAGGGTCCAACCGATATTTGGACCATGGAAGTTTTGAAGTACCCGGGGGACAGCTCACAGCCATGGAGCGCATCACTGCACGCGCTGACAATGATTTCAGCATCGCGTTGTATGGCTCGCTTTGGGTCGCCGCTTTGGCCTTTATCTGGATCACATGTCGTGCGGACCCTGAAGCGCCCGTCAAGTACGATGTCGAGCCACCTGCACAAGCGGAACCGGGGTGGAAGGGTGAGGTGCTCAAGAGACCGTCTATAAAGGTAGGTGCCATGACATGTGACTATTCTAAATCGCAAACTGACTTGTTATAGGTGTCTGGCTCATCTCTGATTCAATGCTATGCTCCAGCTACAGGCGAAGCCCTCGGTCGCATCAGTCCCTCCACGACAGCGGGCATCGATCGCGCCATTGCAAAGGCAGAAAACGCACAGCAGACATGGGCACAGACGAGCTTTGTACAGCGTCGCCGAGTGCTGAAAACTATGCTGAAGTTCATTTTGGAGAACCAGGAGGTCATTGCTAGAGTTGCATGCCTCGATTCAGGCAAAACCATGGTGGACGCGAGTCTGGGTGAGATTTTGGTCACGGCGGAGAAACTGAGGTGGACGATTAAGCATGGCGAGGAGAGCTTGAGGCCAGAGAAAAGGGAGACAAATATGCTTATGATGTACAAGTGGAACGAGGTGGTTTGGGAACCGCTCGGTGTTGTGGCAGCGTGCGTGAGCTGGAACTATCCAGTAAGCATTCAGGTGATGCACTCAAGTGGCATGAGAGCTAAATGGGAAACAGTTCCACAACCTCATAAACCCCGTTATTTCCTCCATTTTCGCTGGCAACGCCATCATTGTGAAGGGCTCCGAAGCCACCGCCTGGTCGTCTGCATACTTTGCATCAATTGCTACTCGTGCCCTTGAAGCATGTGGCCACTCTCCCGACATTGTACAATCCGTTATTTGCTGGCCGGATGTGGCTGACCACCTTACTTCACACCCATCAATCTCGCACATAACGTTTATCGGTTCACGGCCGGTGGCACATCATGTGGCTGCCTCAGCTGCGAAGGCGCTGACACCAGTCTGTGTCGAGCTAGGTGGCAAGGATCCCGCGGTTGTCCTGGATGATCTGTCCAACAGCGACTTTAAACGCGTAGCTAGCATCTTGATGCGAGGCACCTTTCAGTCTGCGGGCCAGAACTGTATCGGCATTGAACGCGTCATAGTGCTTCCCAAAATATACGAACGCCTCATCGAATACCTGACGCCTAAGATTCGTGCCTTACAGCCTGGCTCCGTGCTCAACACTGACATGGAGACGCCCATCGACATTGGTGCTTCCATATCGGCTGCCAATTTCGACAAGCTAGAAGCCCTGATTGAAGACGCTGTCGAAAATGGCGCTCGCCTTCTTGCAGGCGGCTACCGCTACGATCACCCTTTATACCCTTCCGGTCACTACTTTACCCCCACCTTCATCGCCGATGTGACGCCCTCTATGGCCATTGCACAAACAGAACTCTTCGCCCCGATTTTCCTCCTCATGCGTGCCGAGTCCGTCGCCGACGCCATCTCCATTGCCAACAGCACACCCTACGCCCTCGGTGCCTCCGTATACGGCAGCTCCACCCGCGACCTCGAACTCGTTGCGCAAAGCGTTCACGCCGGCATGGTCGCCATCAATGACTTTGCCGTCTTCTACATGGTCCAGCTGCCATTTGGTGGCACAAAGAGCAGTGGCTATGGACGTTTTGCGGGGAAAGAGGGACTGAGGAGTGTGTGTAATCAGAAGAGTATAACGAGGGATCGGTGGAGTTGGGCAGGTATCAAGACGGCGATTCCGCCGCCTATGGACATACCGCTCAAAGGCAGAGGGGCGGGGGAGAAGGCTTGGGGCATGGCGCAGGGAATTGTATGGTTGGGATATGGGAACTTGATGGGGAAGATCAGAGGATTAAGGGGGGTGCTTGGAGTTTAATGGTGAGAGGTGGTGGTGACATTTAGAACACGACGATCGTCAGAAGGGAATCAGAAGGCGAAAGTGGACGTTCCTTGTCCTTTGCCCTTATGGGGTTTATATGGTGGTATATTGGCTTGCGACAATAATCAGAATTCGAGAGACGCACATATATTGACAGTGGAGCGACTTTGTGAAGAATCACAATCACACTGTGGTAGGGGAGTCCTAGCTGCGGCATATCATAAGCTTATCATTTCACTAGCCATCCCAACGATCATCTCTGACTGTCGAAATGCTCAAACTAAGTCACCTACACATCCCACACTACATCTACATATCGCCAAGCCTATCTGCCTTTGTAAGATCCCAGCCTCCCTTCGAAAACAACCCCACAACCCCTCACGCTCACCCCGTAGATCTCGAGACATACACACCTGTTGACCCTCACCCGCAAAACCACTCTGCCCCTATCTTTTCTCTCCACTGCACAGAAATTGAGATCAGGACCCATGTACCGAATACTTCCCCTGCCTCCCCACCAACCCCAATCCGTCACAACTGCCCTACCGAGTCTAGCACCATCCACCCCAAGACATACCTGACATCACACAAGACATGCCTGCAAAACGTCGCCCAGCCGCCCACTCACGCACATAACCGTAGCTACTCTGAACCCTACAGTACCATACCTACCCCAGCTCCCCGGGTAAACTTCTCCACATATGCGACATGCATATTTCTAGAGCCCTTCAGTGTCTGGTTTCCCGCTTGGGTGGCGATGCATGCTCGAGTACGACTCTGGTTAGAGGTTCTTGTCCCCGTTCTTTTACTTCCTGTATGGTGGGGTAGTCTGGCTTGGTTGATCTGCTGTTTTCTGGAGAGCTGCCGAGCCTGGAGGGGGAGGGGGGATGGGGGTGGGGGTTCGGGGCAGTGTTGTACCGGGTCTTATGGAGAAGAAGGGACAGAGGGGGCTGGTGGAGTAGAAGGTGGGTCGCAGGCATGAGATCATGGGGATGCGGGGTGTGGATATAGGTGTGTGATGTTTCTCTCTATCGTTTGAGTTTCAATGACAATGGGGTTTGCAGCGTTGGGCTTTTGCGTTGCGGCGTGTGTTGGAGGCATATTGGGGACGGGGACGACGAATTCATTTCGCGTTGGCTTGTCGCCTGGTAAGTATGTCCTGATGGCTTTGAAACGAGGTTACTGTTCATATTTCTTACTGTTTCTTCTGCAGAGGCGCAGTCACTGTTCGATTACTCGGCGAGAATACAGGATGCTCGCTATGATGCCTCGTACGACTTGATTCAGTATCCTGATAAAGGGCCCTGGTCTATTCGCTTCACCGCATGGTATCTACCAGCGCTGTTGTATAGGAATGAGGGAGACGATGTACAGCGTGCGGAGAGGGCGATTAAGAATATGTATGTTTGATACCCTGTATTCTACCATGTTACCTTTCTAGCATCATACCCCAACACCAACATACCCATACAACATGCATATTCTAACAAAGCTCCCGCCAGACTCGCAAGCCAAATGACAACCGACACCACCGCCCCCTGGTACGGCACCTTCAAGATCTCCCCCGATCAACCCGATCCCACATACGGCGAGAACAGCCACTTCCCAGCCGAAATCTACACCTCCTATGACCCCAACTGGCGCGAATTCATCGGCACCCAACTTATCCAAATTCTCGAAGAATTCCCCTCGCTCATCTCCCCCACCCTCACCACCGCCATCGAAGATGCCCTGGAAATCGCCGCCGTAGGAGCCATGCGCCGCAACGGCACCTTCCCCCCAGACGACAATCTAACCATTGCCTACACCAACCCAGCCATCATGCGCGCCGTACTCTGCGCCTGGATCGGCACGCGTCGCCCTAACCCCAGCTTTCTCGCCTTTGCAAATACCCAGGGCGAACAGATACTCGCGCTCTTCCGCAAAAACGGCGCCAATACACTGGCAGAGTACAACGCGCCAACCTACTATGGCATCGACACCTGGGCCCTCGGCGCAGCTATCAAATACAGTCCTGCCAATAGCACCATCTCCTCTGCCTCTCGCGCCATCCTGCCCGCACTCTGGGACGACTTGGCAGCGCATTGGAATGGCTATTTGGGAAACATGGTCGGACCGTACGATAGAGCGTACACACGGGACATCACATGGCATTCCTCAGTCCTCTCGCTCTTCCTCTGGGGCCTCTTTAGCCGCGAATCCACACCGCAGCCTCTGCTCCTCGAAAACGACCTCCTCTTCGACGGAGCCCAGGGCGCCGCAATCGCACTGCTACTCGCCACCGTTGCCCCGTATATCTCCCACACAGCCCGGACTTCACTAACGACTTCCTTCACGGGACCCCCGCGCCTCCTCACCCGCAACATCTACGACGCGCTCGACAGTGAGACACCCAGAGTCGCAACGAGCTGGATCTCCCGCCCACTTATGATTGGCGCGCAGACGCTACTCGAACCTGAAAACAGAGGCGATCAATTCGTCCCTGCAATCATACATTGGGCCGGTGATCCAAACCACACTCCCTACCCAATCTCCACTTTCCTCAGCCTCTACCCCTCCGCATCCTCCATCCACGCCGTCGCCTCCGCAAACAAACTCACAGTCAGTTACCCGAATCGCACACAGCCCGGCGCAGAGCTATTTACCTTTGCGCTGAGCAATGTGCCGCCTGCGTGGACGTTGGGGACTGGCAGGACGGTGACGGGGCTTGAGGAGCTGCCTTGTTTGCGGGTGGAGGTACGGGCGGAGGGGTTGGAGAAGACGGGGGTTAGGTATGGGGCGGCGCTGCGGAATCATTTGTTTTATAATGTCACGTATGTTGTGCCGCGGGGGTTTAAGGGCGTGCCGACGGTCGTGTTAGAGACGCGGTATACGTGCTGAGTGGGAGGGGCTGGGGGTTTGAGTGAGAAATCCTGGAGTGGTTTGTTGGGAGTGGTAGGGAGGTTGGTTTAGCCTTGCAGTCATGTTTTCTGGTCTTGTGTCTGTCATGCTTCAGAGGTACAATGCCAGTCAGTCGAATTCCTGCCTAGCATATTCCTCACCCAAGACGTGGGGAAGCAGGCATGGACGCCCAGATAAATCCTACTATCCCACGGTGCATGGAGATTATACGGAGGAAAAGGGTGTAATCCACGTACCTACCTTTAATATATACGACGGGAGTCACGTTAGTTATTTTAAGCATGGATATTTAAAGAACACACAGCACAACATATACAAGATCACCAATCAGTTCACTTCACCTCAACCCAAACAAATCTGATAAACCATGTACAAGTCAAGTTCCAAAAGAGTATATATACAAATACTAGCACTACAGTACAAAATTATTTATAGTAGAATAGTATCCTAGGGGATTACTACATAGGGGTAAATCACTTGTTTTTATACTTGTATACATGTCTAATGTGGTAGTTTACTTTTATAGTAGGGGTTTAAATTAAGTATAAAAAGTAGTTTTATATCTATTATACGCTATAATACCTAACTAAGACTAAAAGGGGTAGAGAAGATTAGCTTCACGCTATACGCATATATAACATAATAATGAGTTATAATGTGGTGATAATAGAGGTGGTGATAGAGGTGGTGATAGAGGTGGTGATAGAGGTGGTGATAGAGGTGGTGATAGAGGTGGTGGAGGTAGTGGAGGTAGTGGAGGTGGTGATAGAGGTGGTGGTAGAGGTGGTGGTAGAGGTGGTGGTAGAGGTGGTGATAGAGGTGGTGAAGAAGATTAAAGAAAGGAGGGGTAAAATACTTAAAAGTTAGTAGGAAACTAGTTATTACTAATACTAGTAGATTAATAGAAGTAGAAATAAAAGTAGTTTACTTTTGTAGAATGCCTAGTACTATAAACCCTATTTAGGTTTACTTCTTCTATATAAACCACTTCTTGGTCTACTTTAGATAAATATGGCTACTGTAAACCAGTTTTGTACCGTAGTGTATACAAACACTAGCCTGCCCCCGCGCTGCCCCTCAAAAGAGGGGGGCCAACGCGGCAGAGAAAAGAATCAGATGCTATCTACAGAAAGTAATACCCTCGACATCCGCGCTATCCCTCGATCCCAGGCTTCGCAGTTCAGGCTGGCGATGCGATGCGATACGATACGATGCGACTCGATCTAGGAGCTTGCCCTGGCAAAAGCATCAGGGGCCTCTTCTAACGTACACACACGCAAGTGCAATGCAACAGGGCAGACTCACGATGAAGGGATACTCTGCGGGTGAGTAGTAAAGACGCCCTGGGGATCATAGAGGGTCTTGATGCGCTTCATCTTCTCAAAGTTGTTACCGTAGAGGCGGACGCTCCACTCGTCAATGGTGAGCTCAGTGTCGCGGTAGTTGACGAAGCCGCGGAGGGGGATGCCCTCGCGCTGGAGTTGCTGTTGGAAGGGGCGGAAGCCGGCTTGCATGTATTCTGTGGCGTCGGCCGGCCATTGGGTCAGCCCATTTGCGAGCCGGCCTTCCCAGCGGATGAGCCATTGGTTGTTGGCGTAGGCCATGGATTGGGCGCTGTCGTCGACGTCGCGGGAGACGCCGCCCCAGAGGTCCAGGAAGCCGAATTCGGTGAGGTCGGTGCGGTTGAAGGCGAGGGTGGTGTATTGGTAGAGTGCCTTTGCGGACTCGAAGGTGAAGGGCTGGTCGGAGCGGAGGACGAGGGCCTGGAGGTACATGCTGCGGGCTGGGAAGGTGTCAAAGGTGCCGTTGAGCGAGGGTGCGGCAAAGTTCTCCATGGTCCAGAAGTCGGCTACAGATTTGGTGAAGGTGGTCGTGTTTGGGAGTCGCTCGATGAGGCCGGCAAACATGGCGTCGAATTCGGCGGGGTTGCCGTAGAAGAAACCGCTGCCGTTCCACTCTCCTGCCAATTGCCACCTGAGGGAGAACGTGTCAGGGGCTTTAGTCATGGCCCAATCCTGGATATCAATGAGCGCTTGCGCACCAGTGTCGAGATCCACGTTTCCGAGCGAAATCGTGAAGTTGGTGACGCTCTGGAACTCCGGCTTCCAGGTCTTGGTGGTCAAGGACAGAAGGATACCGTAGGATGAGGCTGCGCCTTGGACAACAAAGAACAGGTCTGGGTTTATTTGCTTGGAGGCTGTGACAACTGTACCGTTGTAAAGCATCATCTCAACACTGACAATGTTGTCCATTGGAATTCCGAGGAAACGGCTCGTTGTTCCAAAGCCACCGCCAATGGAAGAACCAGCAAGGCCGACCCAGTTGGCTCGAACGTGTGGGAAATGTCGACCATAACGCTCCCACGCCCATGTAACAACGCGACCAACGCGGTTCCCTGCACCGTAACTATATTCATTAGTACACATCATCTGCACGTGAAGCCTTCAAAACTTACGTCAAATATCCTGTCGCAGGATCATAAGTCACGTCGGTGAAGCGTTCCATGTTTAGGACCAGAGCGCCATCTACACCACCAAGACCGTAGGCTCCATAGGAATGCCCTCCATTCAGTGGCGAGACTTTCACACCTGCATCAACGCCGCAAGCCAAAGCAGCGGCAACTTCGTCTCGGTTGCGAGGAATGACGACTGCGGCGGGCTCTGGATTGAACCGAAGAGACCAAGGAGAGGTGACATTTTGCCAGTTGCTTGCGTCAGAGAATGTGGCCTGGAGGTTAGCAGCAGTCAGGCAATCCCGAAGTCTTGTGGAATCATCCTGCGCAGCTGCTCCAGACAAGAGAGAACCGAGCGAAAAGAAGAGAAGCGCGCTGCGCGAGGTGAGAGACTGGATCCGCCCCATTGTGTTGCTGCAACTGGTAACTTGAGAGTTGATTTAGGATTGCGATCGATTCTTGCAATAGAAACACGTTCCTTTATATACCCCACAGTACTTTGGAGAAATGCGGCAAGTAACTGGGTCGGGCTGTTTTGTTTCCAAGGACGGAACATTCACATGAGTCGTTTTCGGCGCCGAAGCCTTTGCCAATTGCCCGAAAAGATACCTTCACTTTACACTCGGCGAAATCGAGAGTCCTGCATCATCTCTAGTATTGTTCTCAAGATAATAATCGTGATAGCCAAGACCTCCGGTGCTTCGAATGCAACGAACGAGAAGGCGTTCGGTGATTTAGAAGCATTGTAACTATGGTTTACAAATGCCTCTGATCAACGACACTAAAAGTAGTCGTCAGAGGGCTCAACCCGGCCACGATCAATATTGCAGCAGAGCTGGATCTCTATGCGCCGAACATTCATAGAGAATGTTTTGGTAGACGATGTGAATTAATCAGCAATAGAGAGCAGAGGGCGAGTAGGAATCCAAATGCGGCAACGTGTACTAATTATAGCGCCGATAACATAATTGCAACGCTCTTTCGTCGAGTCTATAACACAAAAATGTGCTATGCAGCAAAGCGGGCACTGCCAACATTGACCCGAAGGCCGAGATGCCTTTTCGCATTGCGCGAAGATTTGACGCAAATACCTGAGATACTCTGCGTTGACTGGTATCAAAATTCATGTACCAGTTTTCTCTGACGGACCTCGCCGTATGGGGATTTTGACTTGGCTTTCAGAGCGTCCTTAAATTCGTGTGACTGAGCCGTTCGGCCAGAAGGAGGTTCTGTCTCTCTGCCAAGGTCAACGAGGCAATCTATTTCCATTGAAGAGCATAGTGTTGAGCGTGTATATATGTTCGTAAGATTTCAATGGGGCGGAGTGACTATTTCTGATAGGCTTGACAAACAGTGGACTCGTTAATAGGCGTCACAGATCTGTGGAGACGGCGGGATGCGGAAACGAGTTGATGAGAGATCAAACAATAACGGGCGGTCAATCTGTGTTGTATATACTGTGTGCAGCCGCCTGTTTCCATGGGGCCTCGACCAGCGTTGGCACCCTAAGACTGTCGCGTTGGCAAGGTCATTCGGCTTACGGTGATCGTTAGCCCAACATGTTCAGCAAGTGAGAACCTACTGTAGAACTAGCAGCGGTCTGTTCCGAATCTCGAAAAATCTGTGGATCGCCCCATGTACGAGGGAAGAAGCACTGGCAATACCGGGTCTGTCGGAAGACATGGAAATGCGAAAATGCCACCACAATATCGAGTATATTTTCATGCTCCAAGAGACCAGTGACCAGTGACTTGGGATGAGCATGACAGCAACACGAACCACGAACCAAGATTTGGGAACAATTGACGGTGCGATAGTTCCCAATGACAAGTGGGGAGTTTGAATTTTTGGACGTGTTTGAAGTCAAGAAGCTCGGAGCCTTGGCATGGCTGCTCCGTCCACTAGGCTCAGTATGGTTCGGGCTTATACCATAGAAGTAAGGCGCAAAAGTTAGCGGCTTCGCCACAATGTTCTGGTTTCCTACTCTCCCCTCCTTGTCCTCGTCAAAAGGAAACATGCAACTGTGGAGTGCGGGACACTAGCTCTCCGTAGAAGTAATCTCCTATCCCTTACCGTACTATCCTTAATCTTCCTTCAATTTACAAATAGAATACTTACCTAACGCTTTTGTTCATGCAGAATCCAAGTTCCTCTGCTGCATCACAAGAAAAGACGATGGATTCTGCCCCTTTTCATCTGCCATGTACACACAAGACCGTACGCAACATCTCTTTGATATGAGTGCGTGGTGGACGTGCTTTGTAGGCGTGGTAGTGACATTGCGCAGTCTGGGCACATCGACAAAAAGGGGCTGCTTTTGATGATTTGTGGCGTGGTATACTGCGCATTCTCTGCTGACTCGACACCTACGACGCATTGCTTTTCTCTCGTCTCTGATCCTAACATTGGCCCGTTCGTTTACTGAGATGTTGTATACTATCCTTTACTTACTGACATGAATTCAAAATCCGAATACATGGTCATCCGTACTGGTGGCATGACACGTGTTGTTTAGACATCTGCAATACCTTGCCCACCTTATTAACTAGGCACACAGGAGTTTGCTTAAACTGAATCGCATCTGGCATGGACAAACGACCTGGAGTGAGGATCCAGCGCCGGAGTTTTTTACTAGCCAGCATTGAGAATTCTTCGAGAGCCGAGCAATTTGTAGTGGGACAAAAGGGAGTAAACTCTGCCCGCGTGTGCCAGGATCTAAGTCTTGAAGTTCGGCGGATGTGTAAACAACTTCTGTCCGTATATTACTTGAATGTAAGGTGACAGTATTTGTGATTCTGGAATCTTCGTCAGCGTTTCTTGCTGTCAGGTTAGCCAAATTGTTGCACAATTCAATGTAGAACAATGCAGAAGAAAAAACGGCATCTGGCGAGGCCAAAATTCGCATTGTGGAAGAGCTCTAATGGCTCATTACATGTTGCGTACAAGAAAAGGGTCGCAAATGCCTTGTCTCCTCTATCGGTGAGAGGAAGAGCAGCCACGACGCCAATCCCAGACAGCAGAATGGGTCAAGTACCCCAAATCTATGATCCTCCCTAAGCTTTTTGATTTCCCAAATGATGCAGTATTAATCGAAAGGAAACTGGAGAGTCGGGGGCCTCGATATGGGTCCCACGATCTTCTTCTCTGCCAGATGTTTTTGTGCGTATGCGACACGGGTGCAAGCATCGAAGAGGCCATCTAACCGCGGATCATGGTACATCGATCCAGGGCATCCAGCAATTCGGGCCTCACTGCCAAGGCCTGCCGTGCGTCCTTGTAGTTGAACCAACGCCTCTCGCGCTTATGCATCTCGGGCCACTGCGCCTCCTGCTTCTCTACGGTGGCCTCGAAGAAGTGGTAGGAGGCCTTGGGTGCTTGGGTGGTGAGCTGATCGGGTTTCCGCTTCTCAGCAATCAGGCCGAGGTCGTAGTTGATCTTGCATACTATGCCGGCCTCTTCCCAGGCCTCACGTTTGGCAGCGTCCTGGGCTGTCGCCTCGTCCAGCTCCCAGCCGCCTTTGGGGAGGACCCATCCGCCGCGTCGCGTGGACTGGATGAGGAGCACATAGTACTTGTCGGCGGAGAGCGGGACCACTCCTGCAACAAGCCTTTCGCCTTGGGGACCGTATCCTGCCGCCAATCAGTTGCACGTCCGCGATGCTGGATGGAGGCGGGAGAATCGGGTCGGAAGCAGTAGCATTTCGAACATGTCTCGTGAGTAGACTTACGTTGATTTACGCGCCCGGTGCGCGACTGCATGGGCAGCTGCTGGGTAGTGGCCATGGCGCAGCACAATGGGGGGGAACTATGAATTCTCTCTCAAGAGGAATGAGGTCGGGCGAGGGCGGCACCGCTTGTATGCGGCTCTCTCAACACGACGCAGGCGAGACTCAACGAGGGGCTTGGTCGGGAGAGCAGAGGCGAGCCAGGCGGTGAATGAAGCCGAGTTTGCTGCGAGCGCAGCTTCAAGAAGGGGAGGGTGAAGAGAGAAAAGTAGGTCGATGGGGAGATGTAGGCAGAAGGGGAAAAGGGAGAGCAAGCAGAACGTGAATGGGCTGAGCAAGGCTCAGTCCCGCGGGTGACGGGGCTGAGGATGTTGAAGGAGCCTGCGAGCAGCAAAGAAGTTCGGCATGGTGGATTGGATGTTTTAGTAGGTCGTTCTGGGGGGGGGGGGAGGGGGCAGGGACTTTTTACGTGGGAAACTAAGAACTCGGGCGGAGCGTCACTCGTGGGCCCAAGTGCCAAGCCCGGCTGCAAAGAAGAGAGCCCTGCAGGTGGTCCACCTTCTTTGCCCGGTGCCCGTATGGCGTATTTCCTACATACAGTGTACATGGAGTGTGAGTACATATCCTATTAGTACGTGCATGCGTACAAGCATCCTTGTGTACAATACTACAATCTTGTGTGGCCAGCCATGGGAGAATGACGGGGTGAAAGACGCCCGCCGCTTGACTAAAAGACACGGGTGCGATTGGGTACCTCCGGTGGGGGCAGCCAACCCGTGGAGGGCTCCAATGTGCATACTCCCTGGTACCTAACCAGGGCATTACCCACGGACGAGTTATTCAATTACCAGCAGTTAAGGGAGAGAGGGACAGAGAGACAGAGACAGAGAGAGAGAGAGAGGGAGGGAGGGAGAGAGACCACGGGAGTCTGGAAAGGTCGTTTTTTTCCCCTGCAGCAGGGCACCCCTTTTGGAGGCCTTTTTTTTGTTCCCCCCCCCCCCCCTCCAAGTGAGGTACAGGCATGCAAAGGGTCCGTTACCCAGTCATAAGAGTGCATTGGGCCGCGTGTAGTCGTTGCTCGGTGTACTGGACAGAGTCAGAGGGCTACCGATTATGTAGAGCTGAATGCGTTGCCATGCGAGCTGTTGTGGTAGACAATCATGGATAGGAAGATAGGATATGATGATGGGGAAGGTCGTTGAACCACCTATTCTCTACAGACAGCCAAACTAGTTCGACTCTGGACTCTCTGACCCCGCGACCGCCTTTCTCCGCCAAAAAAGACAAAAGCATCCGCCACCATCATCCCACAGCCCGCCACCCCAACGTCAAAGACAAGCAACTCACCGCCCCCGCCCCGCCTCCCTCCAACTGTACCTAACAACTGCAACGCCCAGAGCTGAGCACAGAATCGCCAACGCCCATTAACGTTATCCATTCTTTTTATCCATCTATTTCGTGCTCACCCAACGGCCTTGACGGCTATCCGCGTTGCGACATCGACATCACACGCCATACCTATCCCACCCCACCCCACCCCTAGAGGCAAACCCCCCACCCCACCAGAGAAAGCTCTGGGCTACCGGTTCGACGCTTGCTCCCACGCTTATGCTGCCTCGATGCAGTCTCGTGTGACGCCTTTCGGTATCTTCTGCTCCAACCATTGTCCTGGAATCCGGCTCGTGCCTGTCTGGCTGGTTACCGAGCCATGCTTTCGCCCATTTTCCAGAGCAATGGATCTCGCATCTCCAGACCCTGTGTGCTGCTTGAACAACTGCTAATCTTCACGCCCTCCCAGGCTACAGTAGCGAGTCTTGTGGATACTGCAAAGACACGTCGAATGGCCGTCGTAAGCCCAACTCTCGTATGTGCATGCGCTTTCTTTTTTCACCTCCAGTCGTCCTCTCCACCATCATGCGATTGCGTGCATGTAGTGTTGCAACAGCCAAGGCAATCGAAGACCATCGTGTTGGCATGGTGTGTGGTCCATTGCGGGGCATCGTCACGTTAGCTACCTACCTACCGTACTCGCATCTCTTCACACCGGTTGGGCAATACAATGATCTGCATGTGCGGGAGATAACTCCGTCTTCTTCTCATACTAACCTATTTTAAATATAATCAGGAGCGAGCTACTACTTCTCCTCCAAAAGCTTGACGGTTGACGTCTACCAGCTCCTCGTGGACCGCGGTTGGAGACGGTGAGTGCCCCTCTCGCCGCCTATGAACTGGCATCTTCACGGCGGCACAACGGTCATACTTGGACTGCACGGCATACATACCTATCAAAGAACGCCGACTGATTGGATACCAGATCGGGCACGATTTTTTATAAGCCAGACGTTCTACGTCACTGCTGTCCCCACTACACGATCCGGTAGGGCCCCTTGCCAATGAAGTGGTATTGGCACTCATGTGAGGCAGCCTCCCTGTAGCGACATTCAAGCCGTCCAAAGATCAAAGGAAGGCAGTCAATCACTGGAATGATTTTGTGCTGGGAGAAGCCTACATCAAAGAAGCAGCCAAGCTCTACCCATTGTCCAAAGAGTACGTCCTTCTCCGCCACGATAACCATCTCGTCTAAAGTCTGTGTAGGGAGAAGGCTCGCCTCAAGAATGCCTTTGATCTTACTCGCGAGATACATCGGACAGAACTACAAAATGTCAAACAGCCCCCTGAACCTGCGCACCGCTTCGAGGTAACACTCGAGCCAGCTGAGTTTACAAGCGAGAAGTATGAGCTTTTTGCCAATTACCAGCGAAATGTACACGAGGAAAAGGACCATGAAATCTCCGTCTCTGGCTTCAAACGCTTCCTGTGCGAATCACCCCTTCAGCGGACCTCGCGCCAGGTAGATGGCAAGGAACAGCTTCTTGGCTCTTATCATCAGTGCTACCGACTTGATGGACGGCTCATCGCCATGGGTGTATTAGACCTCCTGCCACATTGCGTGAGCGGTGTCTATATGCTCTACCATTCCGATTTTGAAAAGTGGCAGTTTGGTAAGTTGAGCGCGTTGAGGGAGGCCGCTCTTGCACATGAAGGTGGCTACGAGTTCTACTACATGGGCTACTACATCCACTCGTGCACGAAGATGAAGTACAAAGCCGACTACAAAACTCAGCATGTATTAGACCCAGAGACTTACGAATGGAACCCACTCGATGCCGACCTTCGAGAGCTCCTAGACAAGAAGGGATATGTATCCATGGCAAGAGAGCGCCGCTTGAGGGAGGAGAAAGCTCCGGAAGGAGAAGAATCAGGGAACAAGGCCGACTCAAAGGGTGATGAATCAGACTTTCCCTTTGCAACCGCGGCCGAAGCAGGTGAAGCAGTGTCGAATGGGACTTCGCTCTTCTACATCAAGGTTCCGGGTCTCATGACTGCGGAGGAGATTGAGGAGCAACTAGATCTAGGCAGCATGCCAATCTGTGTTGGCAACAGAATGGCTGAAGCTCAGGTATGTCCGATGGCATCAATGCGAGGGTGTGCCATTATTAATGGACCACAGGATCTCGTATCCTGGGATAGTGCAGACTTGAGAAATCCTCGTTCGATAAAGGGTATTATTGGTGAGCTTGTTGCATGTCTAGGACCTGAAGTTGCGTGGCAGGTGGTTGTAGACCTTGGCTGATTTGGCGGTGATCCAAAGAGGACGACTGAAACACGATGCTCTCTACATGACGAATACCAGTTTCGAAACGTGACTTGACTTCTCATCAGTTGGCAAGACGCGTAGATAAGATTTAATAGTGGAATAGTCTCCCATGATGGTGACCCGTTTCAGCTACTGGTTTCTCATTCGAGCCTAGTGGGCTGATTCGAAGCCACTGCCGAGGCTGCCACTGCAACCAAGCTCATCCACAATCAAAAGTCAACATTCAAGCACCGCACACAGCGATTGTCGTAACTCGACACCATGTCTGCCTCGCCCCTCACGCTTGTCGTGCGCCCGCGTGGTACATCTCCGTTCTTGCTTGCCTTGTATCGGCAGGATACTATTGGAACGTGACTAACCAAGCTTTCCAGGTCGTCCGATCAAGAACCTCCCCGAGGCGATTACTGTCAACCCGGACGCCCCGACTGCAGACATCTTCAGGGAGATTGCCAAGGCCTCAAGATTCGACATCAACCGTCTGAGAATCACAAAAGGCAGCGATGGCTCGCCCATCAACAATGTGGGAGAAGTAACGGTGTATGACACAGGCCTGAGAAACAAGAGTGCTATAGATGTCAAGGACCTGGGTAATGACAGCTCGAGCCCAACGCCCTCATTGCATACTACTAACACACTCTCCCAGGCCCCCAAATATCATGGCGAACCGTCTTCATCGTCGAATACCTTGGTCCGCTTCTAATCCACCCACTCGTCTACCTCGCCCGCCCCATCCTCTACGGCACCTCGGCGCCCGCCTCCCAACTCCAGAAACTCACCCTCGTCATGTGCGTCCTCCACTTCGCAAAGCGTGAGTACGAAACCGTCTTCGTGCACCGCTTCTCCTCCGCCACCATGCCCGCGCGCAACATCTACAAGAACAGCGGATACTACTGGCTCCTCGCCGGTCTGAACCTCGCCTACTGGACCTACAGCCCGACCAGCCCTGCCGCGAAGCCCTCGTCCCCACTCCTTACTTACCTCGGTCTCGCTCTCTTCGCCGTTGGCGAGGTCTGCAACTACATGACGCACGTTACGCTGAAGAATCTGCGCCGGCCGGGCAGCACCGAGCGCGGGATCCCGCAGGGTCTGGGCTTCAGTCTCGTCACGTGTCCGAATTACATGTTTGAGGCGCTGGCGTGGGTTGGCGTTGCGCTGGTGAATTGCAGTCTCAGCACCGTGCTGTTTATTATCGTGGCGGTTGGGCAGATGGGCGTTTGGGCGTGGAAGAAGGAGAAGCGTTATCGCAAGGAGTTTGGTGACAGGTATAAGCGCAAGAGGTATGCCATTTTGCCCGGGATTTGGTAGGGTGCCTTGCTACACTGGAGGAAGTGTGTTACATGGGTCCAGTGCGGTGCTGTGATGTGAAAGTTGAGAGGGTGGCAGGAGGGTGTGGGTGGCATTCGTTAGTAAGAAGACTGTGGGAAATGACCAAGACGCATGGGAGACGCGTTTCGTCTTCATCTTGTTCTTTTTCAAGAGAGTCTGATGACACGAAGAGGAATGGTTCTAACATAGAATAACTGTGATGGAATACAAGAGAATATAATGCTTCTGCAGTCGGGTCTAGATATGTCGCTTATCCCGTCCACCCATTTCTCATGCGTCAACATCGGGGTGTGTTTGAAAGAGAAGTGAATCTTGCATTTCTTTCCTTTACCTCGAAGGTCTTGCTGGATAAAGTAGCCATAGCAATTCCCCCTCTTTTCAGAGGAGAATGGCGGGGACTTGTGGGCTCCATAAAACTGCCCAAAAAAACACGTGGAGATGTACCTTCATATATGGCCACGAATAAGGCGGTACGAGGCAAGATGAGATGAGACATTCTGTGAATTTGTAGGCATCAGCATCCTATACATCATTGCCACCGCCCCCATCTTATCAGCCTCAGCCTCAGCCTCAGCCTCAAACTACCAGCACAGCACAGGTACCTACCACAGCACGCCTATTTCACGCCTGTGACATCACACGCAGACTATGCTGATGGTGGAGTGTGGAGGTGTGTAACTAGGCACAGGTGTCTATTGTGTTGCTCGTGCTGGGTTGGGGTTAATGTTGGGGTTAGTTGTGTTTTGCCTGGTTGCCTGAGTCTGGCCTGTAGGTACTGGTATGTGATGGGTTGGAGGTAGTGCTATGGTACTATATGGGGTGTGCGGTATGGGGGTGTACGGTATATAACCACGGTTCACAGTTCACAGTTTACAGCTCACACCGCTGCTCAATTGGCTGGTGCTGATGGTTGGCTGATGAATTGTGTGATGTGAAAGGAGAAGGGAGTGAGCGAGCGGGGTGCATGGTGACGGTGTCACGGTTGAGCTGGCCCGGGGGGAAGGGGATTGGTATGTAGGTAAGCTGGATTGTGGACTACTGTGGTGAGCGTGAAGGGGTGCTATGTAGGTAGGTAAGCAGGACAAGAGTCTAGGCTTGGGATGAGGATGAGCCATTGACCAAACACGACACACTTGCACAGGGTCTGCAGCCACTTCGAGCCCGCGCGAGTAACCAATGCGTTTTGTTTTCTTGCGAGTCTGACTGTGGCTGTTTGTCTCGGCTGCCTTTGGTCTCGGGGAATCGAGGCGGTTGTTCATCTTGCATGGTGGTTGCTAACGTCACCACTAACCATGGCTGGACCTTGGTCTGCCATACCTAACGTTACCGGTACATACCATCTCTCCACGTCCTCTTTGCCATCTGCTCTCCACGCCGTCCCCGCCCTGCATCCTAATCACTTACCTACACCAACACGCCAATTGGCCACATCACGCGAAAACACGTCGAAACCAAAAAGAAAGAGAAATGGGCGGGCGGGCCGTTGCATCGTTCGTATTCGCGTTCGCGGGGTGTGCATGCTTTACCGGCATTTGGGCTGGCTGTGTACCGTGAGTATGCACATGGGGAGGACTAGACTTGGTCTAGCACGCAGTGGGTAGCTGGGCACGAGCGAGTCTGCGAGCTGAAGCTGAATCGAGCGTTTTCCTTGGTCGAGCCTTGCGCTCAAGGCGGTCTGGGTTTGTGCGGCTGAAGGCGGAGGGGAGGGATTCAGCTAGTTGCCTGCCTGACTGCCTGTCTGCCTGTCTGCCTGTCTGCCTGTCTGCCTGCTGGGGTGGAGTCCATTCGCTGGGTTCGGCGTTGGATGGGATCGGGGTGGATCGGGCATGGTGTAGGTCTATGAGAGGGTGGTGGGCTTGGGGTGTGCTATCTAGCTACCGTTACGAGGCCCTGCGTTTAATGTTCCTGTGCTGCTGTTGCTGACCGGCCGGTGCCTGGTTCAGTTGGTGCTTCAATTGCTGGGGGCAATTGGGCAGAGTGCGGTGTGCGTGTATTTATATCTGCGAGGGGGCTGCTGTCATTTCTTTTGGGATTCCTTTTTGCACTTTTTTACGTTGCTGAGTACGAAGATTTCTTGATTGAAGGATAACATCAGCTTGAACGTTGTTGGCTACCGGTACCGGTAGGCATTGGAATTCGAAGCTTTGTAAGTTGCCGCGCTAGCTACCTACTCTACCGGTATCCCTACCTTCTCTTCCTCTCGAGCAACAACTCTACTGCTGTACATAACACTATTCTCTGTATTTTGTCTACTCCGCATTGGCCATTCACGATGGTATGCACTGCTCAATGGCCGTGCGCGGAAAGGGGGACAGATGCGATAGACTACCTGTACCATGGCGTCACTAACACCACCACAGTCTCACTTGAACAAGATGACCGGTGACGCCAAAGCCGTGTGGGACGCACATGTCGACACAAGGACCGGCGTCACACCCCCCAAGCCAGCGGAACCCTCCGAGTTGACCAAGCTCCGCAATACCATAGGGGGATCGTTCAAAGCCGCCGCCGCCTTGATCGGAGCAGCGGCTGCACCAGTCCCCAATCAAACAGGAGATGGCTCCAAAATCACACCAGAGGAAAAAGAATCCTTGCACAAGAATATTGAAGGCGGCTTGCGAGACATGTCTTACCTCAACATCGAAAATGCGGACACGCTGCTCCGTGTGCAAAAGGAGAAAATGTTGGTTGGACTAACTGATGACAAGACCTATCTGATGGAAGGTCTGATCCGAGTTGCTGCAGCCCTGCCAGATGGCTCTGGCACTCGAGATATCATAACCAAGAATTTCGTCACCCAGCTGTGGAATGACCTGCAGCACCCACCGCAGTCGTATCTGGGCCCAAAGTTCCAGTATCGGTCTGCAGACGGCTCGAACAACAGCCTGGTGAATCCTCAGGTTGGTGCAGCGGGCACCCCGTATGCCAGGACCACGAAGCCATCGTTGATGCAGACGCCAGCCCGACCTGATCCTGGTGTTGTTTTCGACAGCATCATGACCAGGAAGCATGCCGAGCTGCATCCCAATCGCATCTCCAGTATGCTTTTCTACCTCGCTTCCATCATCATTCATGATTTGTTCCGCACAAGCCACGAAGATTATTCAATCTCGATGACGTCCTCCTATCTGGATCTGTCTCCGCTTTACGGTAGCAACCAGGCTGAGCAGGACCAGATGAGGACTGGCAAGGATGGAAAGATCAAGCCTGATTGCTTTTCCGAGGCTAGATTGCTGTTTTTCCCACCGGGTGTTGGGGCTCTGCTCATCATGTTCAATCGGTTCCACAACTATACCGTGGAGAATCTGGCCAGCATCAATGAGCAAGGCCGTTTTACCAGGCCTTCGGCTGAGGCGCCCCAACCAACTGGAGATGAGAAGAGGGATGCAGCGGCAAAGGCCAAGTTTGAGGCATCGTGGAAGAAGTATGACAACGACCTCTTCCAGACTGGTCGTCTCATCACCTGCGGTCTCTATGTCAACATCATTCTCGTCGATTATGTCCGTACTATCCTAGATCTCAACCGGACTGATAGCAACTGGCAGCTCAATCCTCGCGAGAATATCAAGGATCTACCCATGGGAATCGGCAATCAGGTCTCCGCCGAGTTCAACCTGGTCTACCGATGGCACTCTACAGTGTCCGATCGCGACGAGAAGTGGACACAAGAGATGTGGGATGGTCTCTTCGGGGAGGGTGTAGACCCAAAGACTATTGACAAGGATACGTTCCTCAAGACGTTGGGTGGTGTCTACCGAAACACCAATCCGGACCCTTCAAAACGAAACTTTGCTGGTCTCGAGCGCAAAGAAGATGGCTCATTACCCGATCAAGAACTGGTTGACATACTCACTTCCAGTGTCGAGGATTGTGCCAACTCATTTGGACCAAACAGGGTGCCTGCTGTTTTTCGTGCAATCGAAGTCTTGGGTATTGAGCAAGCACGGTCCTGGAACTTGGGCAGCTTGAATGAATTCAGAAAGTACTTCCACTTGGAACCCCACAACACTTTTGAGGACATCACGTCCGACAAGTATGTCCAGGAGCAGCTTCGACATCTGTACGACCATCCTGATAAGGTCGAGATCTATCCCGGCATTGTTGTCGAAGACGCAAAGGCGCCAATGGCTCCTGGAGCGGGTCTGACGCCTGGATTCACCATTTCGCGAGCCGTGCTATCAGATGCGGTCGCGCTTGTCCGTGGCGACAGATTTTACACTCACGACTACAACCCACGCACACTGACAAACTGGGGATACCGCCTCGTCGACTCTGACAATGCCGTCGACAACGGTAGCGTCTTCTACAAACTCTTCCTCCGCGCCTTCCCCCAGCACTTCAGGCACAACAGCATCTACGTACACTATCCCATGACTATCCCATCTGCCATGCGGACTGCTCTCGAACATCTCGGAAAAGATCATTTGTACGACTTTTCCAAGCCGCAGGTGGTCCACCACCCGCATCTTGTCAGGGAGTACAAACTCGCGACCGACATCATGAAAGACCAAGGCACATTCAAAGTCGTCTGGGGCAAAGCCATGGAATACATCATGGGCTCTGCAGCTGCAGACTTTATGCTCGCAGGAGACGGCCCCAAGAACGCCTCCTCGCGAGAAATGGTGTCCAAGGCGCTCTACGTCTCCAACTGGGACAAGGAAGTGCGCTCCTACTACGCGGCCAAGACCAAGCAACTGCTCGCAGCAAAGGGGGCAAGGATAGCAGACTTCAATCAAGTCGATATTATCCGCGACGTTGGCAATCTCGTTCACGTACACTTTTGCGCTGAACTCTTCATGCTGCCCTTGAAAACTGCAGAGCGGCCACACGGACTCTTTACAGAAGCTGAGCTCTACCTCATCATGTCCTCCGTCTTCGCCCTCATCTTTTTCGACGTCGACCCCGCCGGCTCCTTTCCCCTGCACGTGAAGGCACACAAAGCAACACACCTCCTCGGCGAGATTGTCGAGAAGAACGTGACTGCCATTGCCAACTCGGGCTTCCTCTCCAGCGTCATGCAAGCCATCTGGCCCCACGAATCCGTCCTCAAAAGCTACGGCATACACATGATCCGCCGCCTGTTGGACTCGGGCATGGACCCCAAACAGCTCGTCTGGGGCCACATTCTCGGCACCGCCGGCGGCATGGTGAGCAACCAGGGCCAGCTCTTTGCCCAAACCCTCGAATACTACATCCTCGGCGCCGGACAAGAACACTGGCCCGCGATCCAACGGCTCGCCGCCGAACCAGACGACGACGAGGCCGCATTCGAGCAACTCATGCATTACACAATGGAAGGCTCGCGCCTCAACGGCGAAACCGCCGTCCTCCGCGCCCTCGCAAAAGACACCACCATCACCGAGACCCGGGCTGGCAAACCAACACAAACCCATCTCCACGCCCACGACACCGTCTTCGTCAACCTCCGCGCCGCATCCCACGACCCGACCATATTCCCCAATCCAGATCAAGTCGACATTACGCGCCCGCTAGACTCGTACATTCATCTTGGCCACGGCGCGCATCAGTGCTTGGGGCTGCCCATGACGCGCGTTAGTCTGACGACCATGTTGAGGGAGGTTGCGCGGCTCAAGGGATTGAGGCCTGCAAAGGGGCCGCAGGGCATGGTGCACAAGGTTGTCAAGAGGATGGGTGGGGAGGCCGAGGGCGAAGATGCGTATCCATATCATGCGTATTTGACGGAGAATTGGGATATGTATTTTCCGTTTCCTTGTAGTAAGTTGTGCCCCTTTTGTTTTTTGTTTTTCCCTCTTTTCCTGCTATCCTGCTTTGCCCCTTTTTTTTTCGCATCTTCACCTCCTAGCCCTCTACGGGGGGGTTTTTTTTTCCTGCGATGATGCTGACGTGGTGATAGCGCTTAAACTCTGCTGGGACGATTAAATGCGCGACAGTGCAAGGGGGGAAGGAACCTAGTGAATCAAGAGAATGGGGTTTGCATGCCGAGAAAATGAAAACAATACATACTGGATATGTCCGTTGGGAAGGCGCGCAAATAGACTGGGAGACATTATGCTGGCTTTGACATCTCCCCACTTTTTTTTTGGTGATGTTGTGAATGGGGGTCCTGGTATATCTAGAGTAAATACAGATGTGAGTACATACCTACGCAATGAACTTGATACCCCCACCACAACATATCGTGGTCAGGGCGCGGGGTATATCCAGTTTGACTTTGTGACGACTTACATTGTAATCATGATTATCAGAATGTTTGATTGATAGATGCTGCCTATAGTATACAAGCATAATTGATTAAAGAGACCCCGCCCGCAATCCTTGCCGTGTATATACGGACCTCGTTCGAGTCCAGACTAGCATCTCACCCGAGAACGAAAAGGAGAAAGGAATTGAAAAAAAAAGCGCCGTGACCCATGCAACCGCTATGCAATCAATATCCCATAATTCATATTTTCGGTGATCGTCCATTGTATAAAGCAGTACCACACTGCCTTGCTCTGGTTTTGACACTCTCCTATCGCTGCATGTACATGCCCGTAGTGACCATGACATTGCCGTAGCGCTCGTTGGCGCGCCAGAGATACTTGAGGAAGACGAGGGCCTTCAAGTAGATCTTCAGAATGCGTCGACGTCGAATGCGATCAGCCTCAAGAACGCTTCGAAGGACGTTGGCGACGACAGCAAACGACCTGGCTTTGCGAAGAGGTGACTGGATGATGGCGTCTTGCGAGTTGGCTCGTGTAAGCGAAGCGGGAGATATACCAGCAGCCTCGGGGGTGAAGACCTCGGGCGCGTCCTGATTCTCGCTAGGAGACGGCAGAGGATTGGTCATGATCTCGAGGGACTCATGCTCGAAGACCTCTGGAATGCTTCCTAGCGTCGGCGAGAAGGGTGAGTGTGGAGATGCGGGTGCTGAAGACATGTCGTGAGTTTGTCCAGAGGCTGATTGTGATGGTGATCGTGCTAGTCGTCTAGGTGGGAGAGAGGGACGTGTACTGGCAGTTTTGGCAGTTTTGGCAGTTTTGGCAGTTTTGGGCCAGGTGGGTGAGTGTGGAACAGGCGTGGTGGGTGCTGTCGTCGGCCAAGCAGGGAACGAGAGTCGCGAGGAGGTGAAAGCAGGCTGTTTGTCAGGTTCTGTTGCCGCAAGAAAGTCACATCGTGGCGGTGAGAAGAGCAGCATGTCGGACAAGTGCTACGTGGTTGGAGCGGCCAGGCTACAAGCTGAGGTGAGTGAAAGAGTGAGGAGGCGAGAGGGCACGACGAAGAAGCAGGAATGCGCACAAGCTGGAACTTCACAAGGGAGTCAGTCGTGCATAAGCAGGAACCCCGCGTTTGCATGAGGCACAGTAGATGGAGCTAGGTAGATATAGAAGCCGTCTTTAGTATAGTGATGACAGACCGAGAGATGGTTGTGGACAAAGGCGGTTGTGCTGAGACCCGGCCATTTGCCAACCACTTCTCCAGTCACACGGGCGGCCCGTGGAAAAGAATGAGCTGAGGCTGCGGGATAGACAGCCGGTAGATTGACTCTTGGGGGCCGGGGATGGTTTTGAAGATGTTTGCTAGACGGGCAGAGATTGGCCGGGGCAAAGGAATTGTATGATTGTGGAATTGCCATGACGTCCAACATGGAAGAAACGGGATCGAAGATGGAGAACATTCCAGCAAACAAGCGGGCGGCCAGAGCCTAGAGCCTTTTTGTGCCCGCTAACCGTAAACGGACGCCAGCCGCCGCCGTCCAATGGGAGCACGCAGCCTCATCCCCGCCCCCTCGTTTCCCTCCACACCCTTTGACCAAAACTTCACCAACACCTTCACCACATGGCTCGGCACGATAGGTCGACAGAGACCGCCTGCGACCCCAGCCGGGCGCTTTGCAGCTGAAGGCGTCGACTCTGTGTGACTACATCAGCCGCCACGAGACAGCATCGGGGTTTGGCGTACTGGGCAGTAGATGGAATAGGTAACTTCTTTACTCTGCCATCCTACTATATAGAACTACCGGTGGGTACTAGGTACCCCCACGGGAGTCTACACCTGCGTCTGGCCCCATCCCTTGCTAACTACATAGCCGCCGTCCAATCGAGGCACTTTCAACGTGAGCGTTACAGTGAATGCCGGCCAACGGATTGGTAGAGGAGACTTGTTTTATCGTGGCTGTACGACCGCTCTATCGGTATGCGGAGACGACCTGCAAGAGTGAAGATCAATCATCACGCTGCTGATATTACCTCTGCCTACCGCCTGTCTCTCGCACCTCAGCCCATCTTCCATTTTCACCTTCTCAAGTCTCCTCGTACATCTACTACAGTCAAGTAGTCGACCAGCATTGTCGCCCTCACACAAGCACCACGCTCAACATGACCTACACTAGGAAACAAGTCGTGACTTGCCTCAGCGTGCTGGTAAGATGGATAGCCTCTTACCGTCAGCCTCGTTATAGTTATGCTAAGCAGTCGTAGTATCTCATCATCGCGACCACACTGGCAGCGTAATTGCCCGTCCCTCCATCTCCTCCCTTTGCTTACCATGCTAGATACGCCGCCTCGCGGGCAAACGCGCGCTCCATCCCAATCTCAGACACGCTGACGAGCTTTGCCACTGCTTTGCCCGTTGTTTCTGGCCTGCTGCTTGAATGTGGCTATGACTTGACTCGTCGCGAGGAACGCCGCAAGAAGCTGGGTCGGGGAGACATTCAACGTCCGCCCCTCGTCATCATTGCCAACACCCTCATCTTCATTTACTCGAGTGTTGTCGTTACACTGCTTGGCACTCACGCCGCGCCACCTTCTGCACTCAACTGTGGCTTACGCGAGCGGTGGCAGACCCTATTCAGAGGCAAGGAAGCGGATGCCATCAGAGCCATCCAAGATGCCTTTCAATGCTGCGGTCTCACCAATTCCCACGACATGGCCTGGCCCTTTCCAGATAAATCCCACGACCAACGCGCATGTGAAAATATGTTTGGAAGAACCACTGGATGTCTAGGAGCGTGGAAAGCTGAGGAACAGCGTATTGCTGGCATGCTGATCGGCGTCGTAGGCATGGTGTTTATCTGGCAGGTCAGTGAAGCGGCGGCTTCGAGCCCAGACATAGCTAACAATGACGCTAGTTTGCAATCATCGCCATACCCACGCAGCGCGAGTCGTGGCTTCACAAGGTCGCACCCGATCGCATTTCGCGCATGATTGCGGATGAGCGACACGGCGATACCGAGCCTCGTCGCGCGATTGACTACGTTCCAGCCTTCAATCGTTACTCGGATCGCGTAGAGGAAGAGGAAGAGCAAGACGGGGATGTGGATCATGCACGAGCTATCGAGGCTGACAACAACCGGATCAACAACACCTTTTCTGGCGGTCTTGGACGCGAGCAGCAACCTGCCGTTGAAAATGAGTGGGCGAGAAATTGATAGTAGTTGAATGGACACCAGAGGGGCACTAGAGGGTCATTACATAAGCGGGCTCTGCAATGGGGACATCATAAACATGACACTATCACACTAAGACCCCACATGGCAACGAGTCTCTGAAATTCAATTATACTCAAGACAATACTCGACCATCTCCAGATGTCGCTTCTCCCAGCCACAAAATCGTCTCACCTCTACTCCTTCAACAATGCACTACCAAATCTTTTCCCAGCACAATGGTACAAAAATACCGACTCCAAGTCGGCCGCGGAAATCAACACAATGCAGCCGATACACGTAAGCTCGAAAATCAGGCGTTCATGATATGTAAGTGGGCGTGCCTAGTCTAATTGTTTGGGCTGAAGGGCGCAGACTCAGGACCAGGAGAAGCTGTGCGCACGGACGAAAGTGCAAACTTGCGACGTGTTCTTCACAACGTGTTGGCGGTAATTTTTTTTCACGAGTTCTAGGAGAAACTAGACTATTTTCTCTTTTACCTACCAGCATTGTTTTTTGTGGATTTTCTATTGTGGTTGTGGATTTCACGACTGTAGAATCACTTGACAAGTGAACTGATCACTGCTATGGAATGTCGCCAACCCCATCACCATCGTGACCCGGGCGACCCCACCCATACCCAAACTCAGGGCCCGTGCGAGCCAGAACCAGACTTGACATGCTGTGGTAGTAGGCAGAAGTACTGTGGTGGCATGTCATATGACCATGGGTTTAGCGTCGGGCGACTTGGGCTTTACTCCAAGTGGTTAGAATATCCCTGTAGGTTCAAGTCCACGTCACAGCGGCAAATTTTTATAGTTATATAAACTAGCCTATAGTTAAGTATAAATTAGGGTAATTTAAGCAAGTAAACGTAGTTTTTATTACTATCTTTTTTAAATATATTCTAAACCTATTCTTAATAATATATAGGCGTTCCTAAATACTATACTAGAGTTTAGTATAGTAGTACTAGATAATATATCTAAACTAGATAGTAATATTAGAGATAAATTTAGGCAACTATATAAAGTACTAGAGGAGGATAGTAGTAGTAGTGTTAAGGAAGTAAGTAAAAGTAAATAGAACAAGTTTAGAATAGGTTAGTAATATATTATAGGGGTATAATATATACCTTACTTATAGTAATAGTTAAGGACTACTACTTATACTAGCAATTATTAAGTATATAGCTATTCTCCTAGTATACCCTTAATTATATAGCTAAGGGTATAGGTATATAATACTAGTTTAGTAATATAAAGATAGCTCTTACCTAATAAGAGAAGAGGTGCTTATATAGGCTATATAGGTAACACGTTAAGAACATGTTCTTAAATTATTCTAATTCTAGCAGGTATAATACTCCTGCTAGTCTATCTATCTTAATAGGCCTATAACTTTACTATTCTTTAATAGCTAGCTAGCAAGCTAGTATAAATACTAATACTCTAGGGTAAAAGCGTATAAGTATCTTAAGAATATATTATAAATATATTCTTATTATATTATTAATAATATATTATATAATTAGATCTAAACCTTAAAAAGTGTAGTACCTAAGAAAATTCTATAAAGAGAACTACAAACAAGAAGCTATTATTATAGCCTTATTAAGCGCTTCTCTTTAAGGATTTATAAGGACTACTAGGTGTCTTATTATCCTATAATAAGGACTATAGTAAATTAGGTAGGGAGCAAAACTTAAATATATTTAAAACGTATTAATAACAAGTTAGTAAATTATAGAATAGGCTTAACTATATATTAGCTATTAGAACTATAGCCTAATATCTACTACTAGGAAAAAATATTATTTTAGTTAGGTACTACTAGAGGTAGACTCTATATATCTATAAGGTCTTCTAACTAGAGAGATATTAAATCTTTCTAGTAGTCCTGCTTTATATTCTGTGGTTAAGCTATAGTTAAGCTAGATAAAGAAGTGTAGTAGGTATATTATAACCTATTCCTAATATATTCCTAATATATTCTAGGCGTTAATTATCTATAAGGGCAAGGATCTCTATTTAAAATCCTATATAAAGTTACCTTCTAAGTAATTATACTAATAGATATAGTAGTAATACCTTTTTTTACTATTATTTCTTTTAGTATATATATATATATACCTCCTCCTCCCTTAATACTATCTAATAGTAATATTAAGGAAGTAGTAAAGGTGTTATAGCCTATACTTACTCTATAGCTTATATAATATAAGTTGTTTATAACCTGTTATAAATATATTCCTAACTTATTATAGCCTAGTTCCTAAACTTAACCTAGCTTTAAACCTATCTCTAACTTAAAGGTTTCTATTCTATTAAAGAAATATATATTAGCTTTATAAATAAAGATAAAATCTTACGTATTATAAAGCGTGAAAAGCTTCTATAGTTCCTATTTAAGAGTAGCCTTAGAGGAGTACACTATAAGTAGAGGATAAAGTATTTAGGATCCTAAAACTATACGTAGTGTAAGAGAACAGGTTTAGAATATATTACTAATATATTACTATAGGCGTATATATAGTAAATCTTTATATTAAGCTTAGGTAACTTAATTATTTACCTTTTTAAAGAGTAGGTATTAATTCTATTAGATTAAGACATATTCTAGATAGATATATTATATAAGAGGTTATATAGGGTATAGGTAGAGATTCTAATAGTAATCTTCTACCTATAGGAAAAGAAGCGTACGCATTAAGAACAGGTTTGTAACACGTTTCTAATATATTATAGTTATTATACTTAGCTAAATTATTATAGATAAGGACACAACTAAGATATATTAAGTTGCTATTACTAACTTCTTTTAGAAGTATAAAGCACTTATAAAAAGACAAGTATTATAGAGGCATATTTACTTATAGGGATTCTATAGGACTACTATTAATATATATAACAAGTAGATAATAGGCAAGTTTTATAGTGCACTGTAACATATTTATAACGTGTTTCTAACTTATTTCTAGGACTTAGGCGCTATCTCTAGTTAATTAATCCCTATAAGTATAACTAGCACTAGCAACTTTAATCTTATATAAGATTTTATTAAGTATATCTACAAAGAAGTATTTACAAAGCATATAAAAGAGAGCTAGATAATACTACCTCTTTACGTCTAAGTGAATTACTACAGGCATTAATAGCAGAGGAATACTTTTAGCTTACTAACCTCCTCTTACGTAAGTAAATATATTCTAAACCTATTCTAAATATATTCCTAACTTATTCTTATATAATTAGAACACAAACCCTCTAAAGATACCTAAAACTAGGCAATCTATAAGAAAAACCTAGTAATTACTAGTCACAAACTCGGCTTGTGCAATACTATAGTAAAATATTAAAAGAGGTATAGGAAAAACTAGAATCTTATTTAAATGCAGCTAAGCAAGCAGGCTAGAAAGGATATAAAACTAGTAAGCATGTAAGTATTCTTAAGGCTACTTAGAAGTAAGTTTACA